CAGCAAGGAGAGATTGGGTGGCTCAGCCCCGCAGCAGGAGCTGACCGTTATGGGGCAGGGCAGGGCAGGGCAGGGGCCCCATCCCTGCACAGGAAAGGAGCGGTCTCTTCCCCTGTGAAGATGCAGCCCTGGAGCCAAGCCAGGCCAAATCGCTCGGTAAGGCGGCAGCTCCGGTTCCCCAACCCCGGCACGGGCAGCAGGATGGAGCCGGTCCCTGGTCTGCATGGCCTGTGGGCAGAAATCGCCCTCTCCACAGCAAATGGCTCTGTAATAGCCCAGGCATCATCAGGCAGCAGTAAAAACCACAGAATACCCTTGAGCAACACACACACATCACCCCCTGCCAAGGTGCCAGGACAGACAGCCTTCACTCGGGTTTTACAGGTCGGGTATTTGGAGGTTTCACTCTGATTTTAGAGGTGGCATACCGTCCCTACAGCCCCAGCTCCAGAAGCCAGCAGAAAACAGCTATCATTATCTTACACAAAGCTTCTGGCCCCACTTGGCGCACGTAAAAGGGCGATAGAAACAGAGAAGAAACCCAGGGGAGAAGTCAGGCTCTGCTGTTCCTTAAATCTCTGGCCAGCAGAGCAGAGGAAGCCTGAACGGGGAAGAGGCAAAACTGCGTCACCGCATCAACAGCGGCAGGGCGGGGGAGAGCTGAAACCCGGGATTTGCTGATTTTAGACAAACACACGCTCAAGCTGAAAGCCTGGAGTTTCGTTTTCCATTCCCGCAGGGACGTGACCGACAGCCACGGAGGAATTTCCTTCCCCACGAAGCCATCGCTGCTGCCCCTCCCCTAAGCCCTGTGCACGCTGCCTTTTGTGCGCGGCACAGCTGCCCGAGGACACGCTGGGAGCTGGGAGGAACTTCCCGGAAAGATGCTGGAGCATCTCCTGCCCCGGTAACACCCCTAAACCAGCCCAGAGAAACCCAGAGACTGAGGAACTGGCGGTTTCTCGCAGCCTCCCGCTCCCTGGCAGCCCGCAGAGCAGGCAGGACCACGGGCTGCAGGAGCAGCGGGAGCCTCGGCGGGTCTTTCCCAAATGCTGGAGGCTGCTCCCGCAGATGCCTGGAGGAGAAAATGCAAGCGGCCGTGCCTCCATCACCACACAACCCGGACTAAAACAGGAGCTTGGGCATGAGTCATCCACGGCCCTTATGTAATTTGTCTCTGGATGTTGGTCCTCCGTGCTCAGCTTTGAGCGGAGCAGCCCTGGGGGCTCCCCCCGGGGTTGGGGAGGAAAAGGGAGCACGGCTGAGCACCCAAGGGGACCCCAGGAAGGCAGAGAGGGCAGGTGGGAGCCCCAGCCCTGCTGCAGGGTCCCCAGGCTCAGGCGGTGGGTTGAAGCCCCCTGGGATTCACCCCGCTGCTCCAGTCGTGGGGTGCACAACCACCCCACCACCCCCTCCCCGCAGCCCTGGGAGCTCAGCCCGGCTCCGTGAGCCGGGGGGGGGGGGGGGGCTGGACTTCGGGGGGGCTACCGGGCTTGGGGGGGCTCCCCCCACCGCAGCACCCCAGATCTCAGGGCTGCTGTGGGTGCCGTGGGGAGAGCCTGCCTCCCCTCTGCAGGGGGGACCGTGCTCCCCACGAGCGATGCTTTGCCACCGCTGCCGAAAGCGGGGCTGAAAAACCAGGAGACCAACCAACCAACCACACACACCACAAGACTTTCAACCCGACCAGGGCGTCTCGCTCAAGCCCCAACAGCCGCATCCTTGCTGCATCCAGCCCAAGGCTAACTGCTAATCTCTCTTTACAGCCTGCTGTAGATGACTTCCCCTCGCTTTTCCTCCTCAAGCCTCAGCCCCGGCCCTACCACGAGTTACTGATAGCCCTGCAAGGACCCAGCCACCCTCTGCAGACCCGGGGTGGGGGGGGACACACGCACCGTGGCATGCTCAGGAGTGGCAGAGCCACCCCCGGAGCAGAGAACACCGGCCTGGGCATCTCAGAGCAGCCCAGATCATCCCAGCTGGGGAGACAGGGCTGCACCGCCGGCACCTCCCTGCCCAGCCACCCCGAAAGCTGCTGCCAAGGGAGGGGAGGATTGCACCAGCCAAAAATCTGCCTGCAATAAAGCTTGGAGAGCTGTTTACATCCCAAGGAAGCGTTCCCTTGCAGGGCAAAGTACACCCCCACCAGGAATGCTTTGCTGGGGAAGCAGTCTATAGTGTCCAGGGCAGGTAAAGGTGCGTGGAGCCAGGGGAGAGCTGCTGCCTCCTGCCAGCTCTGCCCCAGCCCTCCAGCATCGTGGAGATACCCCAAACTCTGCCCTACCCCACGCTCAGATGCCACCTCTCAAGATCCCCTTCCAGGGGGGGTCAGGAGGTCCCTCCAGCCACCCCCTTTTCAACCTGGCTGCCCCTTCTCCACCCGCAGCCCCCGGATAACCCGGATGGGTTTGCCCAAAGCGGAGGTGGCTGGTGCAGGATGCTCAGCCCGCAGCTCTCGAGGGCTCGGCAAACGCACCAAGGCTTTCCAGCCCCCCAGCACTGCAGGGGGAAGGTGCCCCCGGGGCCACGCAGGGACCTTCACTCACCGTCCCAGCACAGGAACAGGGACCTTTGGGCTAGAAATGCACCCCTGGGTCCAGCTCAGCACCGCTGCTCACGCTGGAGAGGCACGAAGCAGCTCATGGTGATCACAACCCTTTATATTTCCTTGGTCTGATACACTAATGCTGTCCCAAGTACAAAGATAGCAAGGAAGAAATGAGTGTGATATCTTCAGGGCAGGCAGCCTGGGAGGGAAAAGCTTCTGATTAGGCAGGACTCCTCCTGATCAGCTGTGGCCCTGGGCTCAGGTTCAGCTGAAACAAAACAGAATCGAATGCCTTAGAGGAATAAAGAATTTTTTCCTCCTGCTTGTGTGTCATGACTCTTGTAAATACAGCTTGAGGAGCTGCTGGTTGTCAGCGCCGGGCGCAGCTGGGTCTGCCCCAGCCACGCCACAGGGAACCAGACTCTGGAGCCACGTTTTGGGCTCACCAGCCCCCCTGCACACCCTGCTCACGCCGAGGACACCCCAAGGACACCCTGGCCCTGCACAGCACCCCAAAAAGCACTCAGGCTCAGCTTCGTAACTGCCAGGTGCTAAACTAAAACGGGAACTTTGCAGGCAGGATGTTACGGGCAGCGCGGCAGCGGGTGCCGGGTGCGGAGTTTGCTGCCAGCATGGGAGAAGGAGTCGGCATCGAGGGCCAGGAGCAAAGCCCAGGCGCTGAGGGACAGCCCTGCCACTCTCCCTGCACCACCTCGGGATGTGGATTTCGGTGGAGGCACAGCCACGGGGAGGATTTCCTGGGATAATACTGCATCCACCCACATTCAAATCCCCGGCAAAAGGTGGGAAAATAAACCACAAAGCGATCCAAGCATCCCTCAACAAGAGCAGATGAGCAGAGTCCATAAACCCCGACCTTTATTAAGACACCTAAACCACCTCCAGAAAAAGGTCACTGCTCACAGCATCTGCCGTGACTTGGGGACGCACAGGCTGGGCTGGTTTTTGAGGGTTCCCCCACCCGCCCGTGGGCACAGAGGCAGGACAGACGGCCGTCCCTCTCCCGCTTCGCCCAGCTCAGCCCAGCATCCTTCCAAACTCAAAAAGCCTTTCGGGGCAGCTCTGCCTCCCCACACACCCACGTGTTTCAAAGCAAAGGCCGCCCTTCGCAACACCCCCTCTCCTGACAGGCGTGTCCCTCTCACCAGGGTTGGATTTGAAAACGAAACTCACTCTACCGGAAAATTGATGAAAACAACCAAATTGCTGAAGCTCGCAGAGCCTGGCAACCTCCTCACCAAGCACCAGAGACCTGGGTGCCCCGGTGCACCAGAGCTGGGTCCTCACCCACCGCAGCGCCCGCGGCTGAACCAGCCTCAAGCACCAGAGCGAACCCCCGGCCCCCCTGCTCAGCACCTCACCTCCGTCCTGGTGGAAGGGCCTGGCTGTGCTGTTCCCTCCCTGCGGAGAGGAAGGAGTTAATATTTATTTACCAGGAGGAAGCAAGCAGTAGTCAAAGTTGGCTTGGCAGAAGGGGCAGAATTAGCCAAAACGGGGTTGATTGAATGGTTTTTGCTGAGGCTGTGACACGCAGAACTAGAGGTTTCCGAAAATGCCCCTGCGGCTAATGAAGAGGGAACTGTGTGGAAAGGGGCTCTGCCGCCACGAGGACACGCGGCATCCGAGGACACACGGCATCCGAGGACACACGGCATCCGTCTGTCCGCTGCTGCAGGGCAGGGCCGAGCGGCCGCTTCAAAGGGGAGTTGCAGGAACCGCGGTCGGGCCACCCCGGGCTGCATCTGCAGGCTCTTCCCCCGGAGCAGCACACGCAGCTCCTGCTCTGCCAGGCTTGCAGGGTGGCACCAACCTTTCCCATTCCTGAAATTAAAAGCAGCATCACCTGCAAAGTAGGACAAAAAAAAAAAAAAAAAAAAAAATCCTTTTATTCCGTGAACATGTTTGGGATAAAATTAGCCCCACTCGCAGAGGCAGCACCGAATTTGCTTAAACTCACGTGTCCGTCAGGGTCCACACCAGCACAGAAAAGTTTCTTTTCCTCCCTCCAACAGAAGCGCCCTCTCCTAACGCAAAACAGATCTTCTCCTTTAACAAACCCGAGGGGTTTTCCCCTAAGTTTCACTCCCCCCAGTGTTTTATCAGAGCAGCGCCCCCAAACGCAGCCAGCAGATCCAGACAAACAACACCCCCCCCTCCTCCCCTTCCCCGTGGGTAACAAACCCCGCAAAGGCAGCGGCGCATCCCAGCCCAGACACTCCTTAAGCACCCAGGACACACTCAGAGCATCACAAAGTGCCGCAACCCGTGAGGGATCCGGAGCATCTTTGCAGGGGTGCGGACTGCAGCGAGCACAGAGGACGTGCCCACGTGCATTTGTATTTACGAAAAGTGCTTTCCCGTCCCGACTTAACCCCCCTGCGCAACCCCGGCTGTTGCAACCGGACACAGAAACACAAGGAACGAGCAGCGCTCTGTTCAAAAAAATATTTATTAGCTCATTAAAGTGACCTGTCATCGCTGCTGCTGCCAGATCAAGTTTATAGAAACCCAACACTTCAAGCACCCGACTCCTTCCAGCCGGAGACAGTGTGAATGGCGCTGCAGCCGCGCGGCGCGTGTGCCCGGAACGGGACCCGACGAGATTCGCAGCGAGTTGAGCGGTTGAAGAACTTTGGGGGGGGTGTGGGGGGGGTGTGATGGGGGTGGGGGTTTGACCACCCGGTCACCGAAAGGCTGCTCACACCCGGCGGGGAGGGAACGGCAGCGCCCGGTGAGGTGCTGGGGGACCAGGGACCGGCCCGATCCTGCGTCGCGCCTCGTTAGTGAGCGCAAGGTCCCCGGGGCGCTGCCGCTCGGCTCACCTCTGCGCATTCAACACTCCGGCTCTGCCTCACGGCACCACCTTCACAACCAAAGGGCTTTGCTTCAAAATCGCCATTAACTTAAAAAAAAAAAAAAAAAAAAAAAAAAATCTCCAAGAATGGATTTTTTTTTTTTTTTTTTTGGAGAAAAAAAGAAAGAGACCCTAAAACCTCAGAAGTTACAGCTCCTCCTGGCCCTCTGGGTTTCTCTCCACCCTCCTTCCCCCCAGCAGACCTGGGCAACCCACCCTCACGAGAGCTCCCGCTTGTTTCTGCCACCCGAAGCCAGCACCGCACGCAGAAGCCAACGTCCCGGGGCCCCGCGCCGCCGTACACAGCGTCCTGCTGGTTTCGATGACCACAACCCCCCCCTCCCCAGACAACCCCCTCTCGGCATCCCCTCTCCCCCCCTCGGAGCCCCCGGGCACAGGGAGCAGCCGCCTCCCTGACACCCCCCATCAGCTCCCGCCCGACCCCTGGGCAGCCGGATGGGTGCCTGCTCGGTGCTTCACCCATTTTTTACGGCCGCTTTCTCCCTGCTCTGCCCGCTGCTCCAGCTACACCTGCAGACGAGGCAGGGCTGATGAGCTAGAATGGAACAAATATTCCAAGAGAACGGGGGAGGAAAGCTTTATAGAAAAATAAGTTTGGGTTTGGTATTTTTTTTTTTTTTTTTTTTTTTTTTCCCCTTCTCCCCTTCAAACAGGGCAGAGCGTTTTTGTCTTTCCGGGCGTCTTTCCTCCCCCGCCTTCCCTCTGACCTGAACCTCCTCTGTAACCCCGAGGTGAGCTGCTCCGAGTCTCCTTAACCCGCGCCCCTCGTTACACCGCTCCTCGTCCCGCAGCGCAGCCAGAGGAAAAAAAAAAAAGGCAGTTCCACCCAGAGCGGGCACGGCCAGCGTCCCTCCAGGCAAGTGTGTCCCCCCCCCACCCCGCCCTCTGCCCCTTTCACTTCTGCTCCGCCTCGTCGGCCACTGCTGTCACCTCGATGGCTGCGGCAGCGTGCTCGTCCCCGGCGGCCTCGGGCGGGACGGTCACCACCGTGCTCCCGCCGGGAGCCATTTGTGTCACGTTCTGGATGGTCGTGCCGAGTCCCGGCAGCGTCAGCAGCTGGAAGGGGCTCACCACCTTCACGACCGTGCTGCCGTCCTGGACCGCCGCTGTGCTCAGCACCGTCAGGTTGGAAGCGTCCGGGTGGATTTCCACCGTACCGGGGAAGGTGGAGCCGGCGGAGGCCAGTACCGTGTACCCTCCCAGCAGCGGGGAGGCCGGGGAGCTGGCGGCGGGAGGCTGGGACGGGCTCTTGCCCAGCACCGAGGGCGGGAGGGCTGAGACCACTTTGCCCAGAGGGAGGTTGGCAAGCTGGGAGACGGGCACGCCGGGGGCGACGGCGAGCTGCGCCGGCTGCGCCAGCACTTGGGAGGTGATGGCAGCTGGTCCGGAGGTGGCCCTGGTCAGCCTGGGACGTTTTAAAGGCGCGGGGACGGAGACGGGCGTGAGGGTCATCAGGACGTTGTTGAGATGCTGAGATTTGTGCTTCAGCTCCTTTGCTCGCTTGCGGTGCTCGTCACACTGCTGCTCCAGAGCTGGAGAGAGAAGAGCCCGGCTCAGCCCGGACACGGGACAGGCTTCCCGGGGAGCGTGGCAATGCCAGGAGCAGCAGCAGCCAGTCCCACCACGGCCGGTTTACGTGCGCCAGCTTTAGCACAAACCCCCCCTTTCTTACACAGAAAGGAAACACGACGGCTAGCGCCAGAGCACCGGCACGTCCCGGGGACACACCTGCTAAATCCCGCGCGTACTGCTCCCTCGAGCGATCCATCTGACACTTGTGGCTGGCCAGGACCTTCTTGACCAGATCCAGCATACCGAAGTTCTGGACTACGTTGTTGAGTAAAACAGCATCTTAAAAAGAAGACACAGATCTTTGAGGAAAGCGAAATTCCCCATGCAAACTCGGTAAAAAGCCACACGACAGCGAACACGTGGCGGCCAAAATCTGCAGGAGGGTAACACAAGAGGCTGGGGAAGAGGAGAAGACAGGAGAAGTCATGAGAAAGTGCAAGAGGTCACTAGTGTATAAACAGTCCTCTCCTGCTTAGCAGGGGTGATAAGAAATCTGCTGGCACAATAGCTGGTTGCTGCATCGTTATTCCGACGGCCTAAATTCCAGCTCTGTTCCCGAGCCAAGCGTTTGTCCAGGATCTGCCAGGCACAGGGAACCGGAGAACTGAGGCCACCTGAAGCGTCTGCCCAGGCAGCAGCCAGAAATGGGATCGAGTTATGATGAGCTATGTCCCTACAGTGCCATCCAGATATCCCTAAGGAGGAAATAATCCACCAGCCCCTCTCCTGAGATGCCTCCGAGCCCCCGTGCCCACGTCCTCACCACCGAGCTGCAGCGGGGGGTCCTGCGCTCGCTGCTGCAAGCCCTTCATGGTCTCCACCAGCTCCTGGTGGAACTCGTGGATTACTTCTTCCAGGAGACCCGTGTCCTTCAGGCCTCGCCAGAAAGCAAAGACGTCATCTGGAGAAAAGAGAAAGCAAGGGAGAACCTCAAAACCTGCTGTGGGTTCCCCTTCTGGCCCCTACCAGGGTGACGTCCTGCTAGGTGGCAGGGGCAAAGCCCAGCCGGCGCGCGTGCCCGGAGGAGGGCAGCTGGAAAAGGACACGCTCCCCCCATCCGCCGTCCCACACAAACAGGGACCGATGCTACAGAAAAGCCCGGAGCACACCAGAGAAGCAAGAACGATTTTATGACCCCTCGGATTTTTAGGTTGGTTTCCCCCCCCCACCCCCCGAGCCACACCGAGCGTTTGGGGCCTACGCTTTGACACCTTAGTGCTTGGAAACAATTTCCTCCCGAGTCGACGCAGGATCTAACGCAGCACGACGCGCCAGTAAGCACCAAATAATAATCCCAGCGGAGGCTCAAGCAGGGCTGCCTCTGCAAGAAGCGTCCTGCTCCTCATCCTTGCTGTTTCCCTCTTCCCCTCCACCTCCTCCATCCCCTGCCCCGTGGGATCCCAAGCCGTACCTCCGATGCTGGTGCTCCAATCGCTGGCATCCTCGCATGTTTCTATGGTAATCGTAGCTGGAGATCCGTTCACTGCAACCAATAGCAAAAAGGAAAAGAAAAAAAACAAAAAACAAACAAACAAAACAAAAACAAAACCCAAAAAACCACAAAACAACAAAAAAAAAAAAAAAAAAAAACAACCAAAAAAAAACCAAACCAAACCAAACCACAAAACCCCAAGTCCTGATTTTTCTCTGTATTTTTCATGGGCTGCCTCTGCGGGAAAGCACTCCCTTGCTGCATTTCTGCAACTTTTCCTTTTTATCGCATAGGACCACTTTTATTTTAACGCAGCTCTCAAAGCTGAATGGAGAGAGACGCCCAAGCGGATGGTGAAGCCGCACGCGGTTGCTGTGCCAGCAGTACTGATTTTTCCACACTGGAGTGCAATACCCCAGGGATTATTCCTGCAACCTTTGCACAAGAACACACACCCAAGAGCAGCATTTCCCTCCTGTTCCCTGCTGCATACACATTAGCACTGCTTAAGGCAGAAGTCAAATAGATTTAGGGTCTGAATTTTTTTTTTTTTTTGGGGGGGGCAATCTTTTTTTGCCCAGCTTATAGTTTGCAGGTCTGGGATGTCTGGAGGGTTTCTAAAGCCTCGAAGGGGAGAGCATCGCCCTGCTGTGCAGGGATGCAGGGGGCTCGCTCCCTCCCTCCCTCTAGCTCTGCCAAATCTCAGCGGTTTTGTTGCCATAGAGCCGGGGGAACCGGCGTCATTCGAGCCGCGCACAGGAGCAGGACGAATGGGAACCTGGCCAGAGACCCGCGGTGCTGCGCCGAGTGTTTGTAATGCTCAGCTGCTGCCCTTAAATCAAATTCCTCTGCCCCTTTACTCTGCAGCTTTCAGGGCCCTGCCAGTTCCAGCGCAGCCAGACAGCACGGGAAGCATCTCCCCGTTAGCGAGCGATGCCCACGTTTAACGGTGGCCACACCACCGGGCTGTGGGGCCGAAGACACTCGGCAGAGCCAGCCGAGGGGCTCAGCTTTGGCCTTGCTCTGCTCCCACAGACACCATCGGGAGCTGGGGGCATGGGGCCCTTTGGGGACTGTTCTTAACTCTCAAAAGCAAAAGGTGTTCAGAAATACAGAAGTACTTAGAAATTAGGAAGCTTCCCAATAAAACAGTTGCCTGTAATTATAGGTCAAATTAAGTTTAGGGTTACAGCTTTGTAGCCACAACATCATTTAAATCTAGTTTTATGAACTGCATCCACAAGTGCAGATATAAAAAAAATAATCTGTTGTATCTCCTAACTTTTCATCAGACAAAGCCAATAATAATTCAGCCAGGGGGCCGTAAATGGAAACTAAATTACTCCAGAAGGAGTCAGGTTAGAGCTGGGAGGAGGAGGGACTCCTGCCCTGGCACCCTGCACAGCAGAAACCGAGCTGATGCCTCCCGGGACGAGCACTCCGGACACGGCGCCCGCCCGGCAGCGCGGACGGGAAGGGACTTCACTGAGCAACCACGGCTGTTTTACAGATGAACTGCAGACTTCTGCTTCAGCTGCGCACTGCGGGGCAAGGCAGGAGGGCAGAAGGGCGGTTCTTTGGGCCATGCAGTGTTGCAGAGCAACCGGGCGAGTTAGTGCATCTCTGCCGAGACGCTTCAACGACTCTGCCTAGCTCTGCTACAGGGAATCCTGCAACAGGGCAGGCAGAGAAAGCAGAGGATAAAACAACCCGCAAAGGCAAAAAGAGAGGTGGCCGTGAGGGGCGTTGGGTTAGGCGGCACTCCTTGGGCTTTCATGCTTCACAGCCCCCGCTCAGGGCACGAGGAATGGCTGGACGTACCATCTGTGGAAGCAGGAGTGAGAGGGATGTACTCCGTCGATGTCTGGCTGGTCAAGGACACCCTGGCTCCTGTGAGGTCGATTTTGGTGCTCCGGCAGGTGTTGGAACAGACCTTGGTGTGCTGGTAGAAATCCAGCTCTCCCGAGTCCATGATCTTCCTGAAAGATGGGAGCAAGCACAGGGACAGGCAGGTCAGCGGGAGCGGAGAGCTCCCAGACACAGGTCCTGGGGGCCTTCGCCCCCAAACTTCTCAAAGTCCCAGCTGAAAAGCAAAAGCCGGGAGAGCAGGCAGAGGCAACAGTTTGAATCTCCCTTGACAAGTCCCTGTGTTCTGACCTTGAAGACAGCATTAATTGGGTTAATTAAAATAGCATCCAGAGCCTGCTCTGTACTGGCCATACGCACAAATCCACCAAGCATGCAATACTCCAGTGGTGCTAAAGCCTTTCAGGAGGCTGGGATGGGGAGAAAAAAGCTCACTGTGCTGTAGCTGCGGCAAAGGGCTGGAACAGATTTGGTTTCTGACCACTTCCCTGCCACATCCTGCATCCTCCTGCGGGACAGAGGCAGGGGAGCAGGACTTCAGCCCTCTGAAAAGGTTCCTCTCCAAGTCCAACTCAGAGAGGATGAATTTCCTTAGTCCAAGAAAGTCTTTTCCTTCACCACTGGAGCATTCAACTTGGACTGAGAACCTCGAGAGACACGTGAGCTTTTCCTAAGGATATATCCCTGTAAAACTAAACATGCCTTGAGAAGTTCAGGACAGACCACACTGCTCTCAGCAGATTTCCTGCTGGCGAGAAGCCTTCAGGGAAAGCATACCCTTCAGAGCCCAAACACTGCCGTGCCTGTAGCAGCAGCAAAGTGGGAAGGGCTCTTCCCCGTCACCCTGGGCCACGCTCCCGTGCAGCAGTTTTATCCCTTCCCTGAGATGCTGGTCAGGGTCCTCCTCCCTGGGATCTCCCGACCTGCTCTGAGGACATCCCCTGCCTTTATACAAGCAGCACACACCCACCCCCAGCGTGCCCACGTGTCCGTGGGGCTCCCCACGGCAGAGGCAGGGCTGCCCTGTCCTGCTGCTCTCCCACTTCCTAACAGCAGGGCAATGCCTGGCCTCCGAACAAGCTGGTTTCAGACCTGCTCCCACCTCTCTGAGCAGGCTCTTCTGCACGGGGGGCCTGTAATTTTAGCTAGGAACCCTTGCTGGGCCTGACGAACGCCTGGTTCCTTGAGGGAGGAAGGAGAAGGTCCCACTCTGGTCCCACCAGCACCTCCCCCTGTGCCTGCCTGCAGCTTCCAGCAGAAGGGTCAGCTGAAGTCTCAGTTCAGGGCAAGACAGCAGGAAGCCTCTTCCTTCCCTTTTTGCTTTTACATCTCAAAGAGAGATGGGGCATAATTCTATTTATAAACTAAAACAAGATTGCTCAGCTTAAGCAAAGGAGGTTGCAACACTGGACTATGTGACCCTCCCAGTGTAAGCACGTTCTCTCCAAAGTATCCCCAGGCCTTGCTGGCCAACAGCCCCCTGAGCTTCCCAAGATTTGCTCTCATGGGCTGCCGGACTTGCCTTCACACATTTCTCGTGAAGTTTTCTTCCCCTTGAAAGACCTGCCTTGCCAAAGTATAAGCTTATTATGCAAAATCTATGTGGAGCAAAAGCTGCTTAGAAGGAATACGGGAGACGCCTGCATTGAAGCAGAAGAATAGAAGCAAAGGCAACGTCACCCTGTGAAAAGAGTACAAAAGCACTGACAATTCTTAGGGAAAGGGGTGATGCTTTTTTATCCTGCCTACAAGCAGAGACAGACTTTAATTAAATCAGTCTCGGGCCGGTGTTCAAGAAAACCATAGAAGGATTAAATTACTCTAGTTAAGACTAGAGAAGAGAAATGCTTGCATAAATAAGCCTTAAATAAGTCCTTGACAAAAAAAGGAAAAGAAAAAGTGATGTAAAGCAGACATGCTGCAATGGGAGCATCAGCTGATGACCAGACTGACTTCCATGTCCCACTGAGAACCCGTAGACAGCGTGGCTCAACCACCACTGGCCACTAAAATTCTCAATGACCTTATGCCAGCTGGGAACTCGGTGTCGTTCAAGTCCTAAAAAGACCGAGGAAACATTTCTTGCCTCAAATTATTCCCTAGGCACAAGGATAAAGCAAAGCCATTGGGCAAATCCCACCTGGGGCCACGTTCAGTGGTGCATTTGCTCTCTCAGCAGCGAAACAACCGTGCCAAAGGCCCCGTTCCACCCCACCATTATCCCCCAGGAAGAAGAAGTCTCTGCTGTTGCTCTGTGGATACAAACGGAGAGACTAACCGGAGCATGATCCCGTTCATCCGGATCGCCCGCTTCCAATCCTTCAGGGTCGACTTGCCCGCCAAGTGGACAAACTCCTTGGGACTAATTAAGTGATCATCAAACTGCGAAAGGCAGAGGTGCAACATCAGTGTGACAAGCCATAAAAATAACACAAGCGTGCCCTGTGAGCATGATTCAGCAGCGGAGTCAGGCTGCCTGGATGGCATTTCCCGCTGCCCAGCAGTGGAGTGCAGCTTCCTCGCAGCCTCAACGTGCTGATTAAATAACACCACCGAAACAGATGGCTCACACACACTTCCCCACCTTAGAGAACACTGGCCGAGTTCAAAAAATTAAAGCCAAATACTGCTTTCATGGACGGTTAGTTAACAGCTGCTCAAAGCCAAGGGTTTGGGGCTTTGTGCAGCACTGAGGAGTTTGCTAAATGCCCAGCCCAGGCAGGACGGCCAGGGGGGAAAAAAAAACCAAACCCAAAACCTTGCTTATGCGAAGTATTAACAGCAGTGAGCTGCTCATGCTCCCACTAGCTCAGGAGAGGCAGTGCCACCGGTGATATCTGGGCTCAGGGCCATGCTATGCCCCGTGCAAGCGAGGGAAGGAGAAGCCCATTCGGTCTTTGTCCTCCCGCTCCCGAGCCCATCACTATCAGTGAAACCTCTGGCCTCCCCCGTGGCACGCACCCACGCCTACCGAGAGCCAGCCGTGGGGAGTTGGCATTCACCAGATCAGCAGCCAGCTCTTCCCCCTTCTTTTATTGCCCTACACACCCAGCTGTGCCCGAACCCCTGGGCTGACCTAAAAGCAACCTGTGGAATCAGGCAGTCCTCTACAGAGCTGCTTTACAGCCCGTCCCAGGAAGGATTTCCCAAGTCCAGGCCTTCTCTTTTCAGCGCCCATGTTGCCCAACATAGAGCTCGCTCACCACTACTGCATGAGAAGCTGCTTCTCTGAACGAGAACGTGGGCTTTGGTGCAAAGAGAAGACTGATTTTAGGCAGCAGCAGCAGCATTATCTGCAGTAGTCCTCTGCCTCGGGGATGGCAAAGACCATCTCTCCTACAAAGGGCAAGAACCATCCCTTGGAAAGCCCTCATGCAACAGAGCCCAGAGGAGACACTCCTCAGCAGGGTACTTAGTCCGTGTAAAAATGCCAGCGACAGCTTATGACAGCATCACTCACAGTATGTTCCTGAATTCATGCAAATTTTAACTGTGAGTTATTCAGGACACAGTAGCAGCTCTTCAGTAGGTCCCCTACCAATAAACTAGTCAACAAATTCTCAACTTCCAAACTGAGCTGACACTGGAAGTGCCCAAATTTCTCAAACTCTCCAATAACGCCGTTAAATTGAGGCAGCTTCTCTCCAGCCAGGACCGCTCCACTTGGCTGAGAAGACAAATATCAGGTACCACAGCACCAGCGAAATTTCCTCCTTTCCCACCACGATGTGGTTCTGATGTGAAGCGGCTCACCAAAGCTCATCAAAACCAGGGCAAACCAGGTGAGCCTGCGACGCGGGCACGGGAAGGCACGAGTCCAGCACTGGGGCCCTCCATTCTCACCTGCACACACTTCACGTTGATCCCGGGGCACACAAACTTTCTCCAGATGAGGTTGGCTTTGCTGTCCCCGCAGGTGATGGGGTAGACAATCTCTGCCTCCAAGCTGTCCTCATCTTCAGCCATCTTCACTTCTCACAGGGAACAGAGGAAGGGACGGATCAAAAAGAAACATGAGTCACAGCCCCCGCTTCACCCCTCCGAGGCACACATACAGTGATAAAGCAGTTCTGGAGCTCAGGATTAAAAAAATTATAGGTGATGCATGGTGGGTTGAGTTGGGGTTTGGGGCCGCCACTCACTTGAGCTTTGCTACTACAGCATCCAACCACCCAAATACCTTAAGGCAAAACAGCACAGGCAGATTTACAATGATCTGGCGGCAGCTGAGTGCGTGAAATCTGAGAAGTCATTGGCCAGGGCTGAAAAAATTAAGTTCTTGTAAAAATGAAAGGAATTGTGTTGTTTGGGTAATTGTAAAGTCACCCTTGGTTTTAGAGAAAAACTGATTTTAAGTCACCTCCAGCCCAGCTGGTCACAGTCCGCTCACTAAATTCACTTTTACTTGTAACCAAAGCCAGCGAGTTTGCTGCAGAACTGACGTCCCCGCCGCGAGGAGCCAGCGATGGCCAGGCACAGGGTCTCATCCTGCACCAGGAGAGGGCAGCAGCAGCCCACCAGCAGCTGCCAGCTCCCCGGCACCCAGCCCCAGCAGCAAGCTGGGCTCCCCTGGATGCTGGGGAGAGCATCCCCAGTACCCCCAGGAGAGCATCCCCCCCCGCTACCCGCCCGGGAGAGCGTCTCCCCTGTACCCCCCAGTAGCTCTGCACAGCAGTGGCCGGACCCTCTCGGCCAGCACCAGCACAGGGTTGTGCCACACCGGGGTGGTGGAACTGGCACGGCTCAACCGAGGGGCTACGGCACGGGCTGAACCTACCTAGGACTGCTTCCTTCAGATGTGTGGAGGCTGTGAAGGCAGCAGCAGCCGCAGCAGCCGCATTTTCGGTCTCCAGCGTGTCTTCGTTTATGTCACCGCTGGTAAGAGAGTCGGAGAGGCAAAGTTAAGCCACATGGATGTGCCACCCCCACACCCGATGCTCCATGAAGACATTCCTAAGTCACTCCGACTACATTTTCCCACAAGAGCTAGAAGGCGGCTCCGGTTTCCAGAGGCTCAGCTCCATTCTTCTGTACGGAGACGACGAGCCCCGCAGCAGGCAGGCAGGGCTCTGCCTCGTGTCCCTTTTAATCCCAAGCCCCATGGAGCTGCCTCCGGCGCAGCCCGTGCTGGGGAGGTGGCGTGGAGGGATGCTGTCAGCACGGCCCCTCGCTCAGAAGTCGCTGCCAGCCTCTGGCAGCTTGGCCTGCAAAGATTTCCCCAGGAAAAACATGTGCGAAACATGCAGCTGCTGCCTGGGTGATGGACTGGCTGAACCCCTCCCCAGCACGCGGGATGCTCCCAGGAGCTGCTCACACACTAAAAAGGAGTCTGACAAACCCTAACAAAAGAGCCATGAGCAGAGATAACGTAACGTGAGCTACAGACCCTTGGGATCCAATCTCAGAGCCTCTTACAACTCAGTATACCCACGGTATTAACTAAGAGCTGGCTATCCAACCACTTTGAACCTCCCCACCCCGGAGACCTCCGGTTTCTCGGGGTGCTGTGCTGATGCAGACACACAGCTGGTCCTGCACAGCACCTGCACCCTCACTGCTGGCCTGTTCTGGCTCTCACTACAGTGCACAGAGCCCCAGGCTCCTCTAACGAGCTTCGGTGCACTCTCAGATGGGAAAGGCTTTGAGGTCTGGGACACATTCCTCATCCCCTCGGCTGGGAGGGTCCCGTGGGAAGGAGAACGCCCACGCTGGTACCCTTACGGATCCGCGCCGCGCATCACGGCCAGCTCTCAGCATGGACCACTCCTAATGGCTTTTAAGATGTGCCTTTGGTTTTGTTATTAAAGATTACAATTACTGCAGCAAGCTTGTCCTGCAAGGGCTGGCAGGGAAAACCTGTTAACTTTTCACATACTTCAGCATATAAACTAAATATATAGTTTTATATATATAAACTTCCCAAGGAAGACTGTAAGGAGAAAATAAACCTGAAATCTACCCCAGTTTGGCACCACAGGTGAATTAAAAGAATGGTCCTAGAGACTCACTGGCAACCCTACACTTCCCACCTGCAGGGCCACAGGGACAAGCAAATTCAAGAGCAACTGGTTTTTCCATCCTGGCCTCCTCACACACAGCTCCGGGGTGGAATTGCAGCTTCAAAGCATCCCTTCCCCTTGCCAGCTGCAGGGCCGGTACCTGGCGGGGAGCAGCACGGAGATAAGGGAACCGGCGTGGGCAGCAGCTCAGCCTCGCCGGGTGAGTAACGCGGGAGATGCTGCTTCAGAGAAGCAAGAGCTGGGGGCAGCCCCAGCTGGGGCAGAAAGGCACCGCCGGGATGTCCCAGACCCCTGGGAGGGAAAAAGGTGGTGGGTAACGCAAAAGGACTCGAAAAGGCAGACTTGGAGTTAATGCATTTGCACACAGGGGAAGGTTACAGACCTGGCGGTTTGACACGAGAAAAAAATTGTAATCTGGTTTTTCTTCCATCAGTTTGCTGCTCTCTTGCATTTCTCCAGATGCATTTGGAGAAAAGCCAGCAACACCACCCCAGCAGGGCGCCGGGGCTGCGAGAGGCAGCAGCCACCTCCGACGCGTGAGGCCCAGCACTCCACAGCCCTGACTCTGATCTGCCTCCGCCTGCCACCAGATCAACACCCTCCACCGACTTATCTAGAAGAAACACCCCAGCAGAAAGTCAGCACCTGAAACAGAGCTTCCCCCAAGACTCTCATCGCATTCGCACTGCTCCAAAAAAAAAAAATGACCGAAAGGCACGATTGGATTGGGAGAAAGAACCCAGCCCACAGCTTAAACCCCCTCCTCCAGAGAAAAACAAACCAACTTCAACAGCTTGTATGAAAAATTCAAGCAACTAAAGTCTGTGCCTGCCATGGAGATGTGACTGGGCGGGAAGAGAAAAACCACAAAAAAAGGTTGAGTTTCTCCACACTGCTTCCCCCATCCCATTCCAGAGGAGCAGACTGAGGCAGAGGCAGGAGCAGGAGAAAACTCAAAGCCCCAGTAGTGCACCCCACCAAGCCGGTCCTGCCTTCACCAGTTGCCATGACAAAGCTGCGGGAGGATGGCTCTCATCTTCCTCCCCGGGAGGATCCATAAACCAGATGGGAGGAAGAGAAAAAAGTGTGTGCTGACAAAGCAGCAGGCTCGTGTCTCCTTTCTGCTCCGCTCCTGCCTCACCTGGAAACTCGAGAGAGAAAAAAATCTCCACCAGAAACCTGTGCTGGGGATGCTGATCAGAAATTCAGACACCTCTCCAGAGCATCGAGTAGAGATCCCTTGCAATCGCAGATGAAAGGAAAGCTTCTTGCTGATTATTATGATCTTCCCATTTCCCTCTGCCTTTTCCAATCTTAAAAACACATGAGCTAATTAAGCTCTTCACCACTGGTTGCATAGATATATTTTTTTGAAAACCATACCCAAAGGAGCACTAGAAAGAGGCAGAATCCAAACTCAGCTTGGGGGTTGCTAAGTGCCACATAAGACAAGCTGGAAGCCCGCTTCCCGCGCGAGCGGTGACCGAGGAATCCCAGCCCGTGCCGGCAGCCCCTTTCCTTACGCCAGCTGGGGCTGCAAAGGGAAAACAGAGGGAGAGGGAGCCAGCGCCACTACGGCATCTCCCCGGGAGGAGCAGAGCTCGGCAGAGGCAACTGTCCAAGGCTACGGAGAGACCACGGGTGGCTCGTGCTGCCACCAGCCCCACGGCCCCGCTCGGCGAGGGCTGTCCCAGCAGCTGCCACAGCGGGAGTTGGGTGGTTTTGCTCCACGAGCCCGAGGTCCACATCCTTCCCGTTGGATCTGCTGCCAGCCTGGAGCACTGGGGAGCGAGGAGCCTGCCCACCGGCCCCTCGCCAGAGCGCTGCACGGAAAACCCTCAGGGAATCTCTACGTGGCTGCTGAGATATGCTCTGCTTGTAGCTGCAACTAAGAAAAAATCATCCTCTCTGCTGTGTAGAGCTGACCTGCTCCTGATCATCCAGGAGACACTGAGAGGATGACAAAAGGTTTCCAAAGAAAAATAGTAGTGGAAATAAGAGTGAAAGGAAACCAAACTGACTGAGCCAGCCTCTGCCATGATCTATGTTTCCGGACAACGCTGCGCTGCTGCACGTGGGTCTGCAAAGGCTCAGAGCCACATTAAAACCAGAAACTGTTCTGCATCCAAGAAAAAACACATCCCAAGTTTCACATCTGGCTGCCCCTCCACCGAGGGAGCTAAGGAAGTCACCAGGGGCCAGAAAGGAAGAGGAGTGGAGCCTTTCTTCCCCACCATCACTCGCTCTTTTGAGAATGGAAAAGGCTCTTGGATGCACTTGGGGACCTGGGATGTGGAGGAGCAGGGCGCTCGTGGGGAGAGGAGAACAGGACATGGGGTCCCTCTTCCCCCCTGGTTTTATACCAGTTACAGCAGAACGAGGACACTAACACCTGCGCTGTAATGTAAGAGCTGTCCCCTGACACAGAAACAGCGGGATGTATTTGAGGAAAGGAGACAAATGTGTTGTGTGGAGAGCGATAAACAGCCGCTCCCCACCCATTGATTCCAAGCGCAGGGACTCCTGGATCAGACAAACCTGCCCAGATCCAGCTCCGGGCATGAACTTGGATTTTCTGCCCACCGAAAGAGCAAAGCACTAAGAGGTCTCTGAGCACCGTCCTGGGAAAGACTGTGGAGAAATAAAGCAACGAGCCCATTACTACGTCGACACTGAAGGTACCAGCCAGGCACTTTGGCCATGGAAGCAAAGACTTGACCGACCCGCAGCTGAACAGACCAGACGTGAACAAATGGCAGATCTGAAATGCCAACAAGAAATGCAGAAATTGGGCAAAGCAGCAGCACTTTAAAAATCAGAGCTGTTCACTCTTTTCTTTTTTTTTTTTTTTTTGAGGAGTACCACCCCATCCAACACATCATTCAACGCCGTGCAGTTTCAAGGCCAGCTCTCTCGCTCCTGTTGCCGGCAGCGGCGGTTCCTGCAGAGCTCTGCCGAAAAACACGGCCCCAAACAACTCTTGGGAAGGGGAGCCCTGCTGCACCACACTGCGGACAGACACTCATCTCAGAGGTACGCAGCTTAGTGAAGCAATCACAAAATAAATAGCAGAAAAACACGGATTTAATGTCCTGTTCCAACTGGATTTGTGTCCATTCCAATATCCACATCCACTCAGAAAAGATATTTTGTTTTGTTTTGGTTTTACCTTGTTTTCTCCAAAACATGCAAAACAAATTGTTGCACTGCTTTTTATTCTGGGTAACCCCAGCTTAAAAACCACCAGTGGTAACTCAGCTTTAACAGAAAAAGAGTGGCGCCTGCTCTGCAAGCTCAGAGCTGCAGAGCCCAGAGCCCTGGGTACAGTCCCAGGGGTGTCAGTGAGGACCTAACGAGGAACCGGAGATTGCCCGGACGTCGCTGAGGTCCCTGCTGTGAAAAGTGATGCGGGAGCAGGATTTAGATGATTAAAACAACCCAGCTCTGCTGACTACGACCACAGCTGGGAGGTTTTCCAGTACATCACCTCGGCGTATGCCGACCTGGTCTCTTACCCGTGCTGGGACAGGTTGGTGGTGACCAGCACCGTCTTCACCTCCTCCACGCCGGCTCCATCCACCACGCCGTCAGGCGTCGTCACCACCACCACCTCCTCCATGTGAACGCTGACGTCCGGAGTCGCCATCGCGAGGCGGGAGCGATGATGGGCAGCGAGAGCCCTCGGTCACCAGCTGCCTGCGGAGAAACGAGGGGAAAGCCCTGGGTGAAAAGGTCTCCCTGCTAAAAATCCGTCGTGGAGAATCTGGGCTCCTCAGAAGAGGGTTAGCAAATCCCCAAGACGCTCCATTCCAAAGGGAGGGACGAGGGGAGGCTTGTAACCCAGCACACGCGCTGCAGGCTGGGTGAGGGTGATGGGCACGGGTGGCGAGAGGCAGAGTGTGGGAGCAGATGGGAAACACAAAAAAAAAAAAAAAAAAAAAATAGTCCTGGCATTCGCCAAAAACTCCAGGAAGACACTCAGTTTGAAGGTGTGTTTCCAAATGCATTTCAAACTATCTCAGGAGGATCTCACACTGCTGGCGGAGCACAGCACTGTCTCCTCCACAGCAGGAACTCTCCCCTCCTCCAAAGTCAGACACACACACTAAAAAAAAAAAAAAATCAAATGAAAAAAAGCACTTCAAGCCTGCAGAAACAAAGTGACATCTGAAAACAATTTCCAAGTGTGTATTTCTAATAAATCACCAATAGATTTAGGACAGCACTTAAACCTGACTTCGGTGCCCACCCCTGTACAGCTGGTATTTCACATGCAAGAAGAAACCTGGGAAAAAAACCCAAAATCTAGTCAACTAAAGGCACAAGGAGCTGTGTGTCATCATGCTCTCACGGTTGCAGTACAGGCCTGGCTGCTCCAGGCTCTGTACCCGGAGCACAACGTAACCCACGGGGAAAAACCCTGGTCCCACGGGGACACCATCGCCCACCTCACACCCTGTGCCTGCTTCCCGGGGATTTTAGGTAACTGTAGAATTAAAGGCAGTTTTAAGCCATTTAAGGAAGAGGAGAGGTCAGCAAGGAAAATAAATATCCTTTACCAACACATACGTATACATGCATGCACAAACATCCTCCAGACAGCTCTGTTATTGTTAACGTTACAGGGACAGCGTGATAAAATGAGCACTTAGAGCCACAAAACTGTTTGCAAATCGGCTTCTGAGGAGATCTCCAGCCGCACCTCACCAGTGAACCACGTCTCCATCTCCCCCTAAGACCTGAGCAGCGCTTGCTCGCACAGCAGCACCCAGGTATTGAGAAGCAGGAGGCTACAAGGCTGCTCCTATAGTACCTATAGCATCGGCGCAGCCTGCGCAGAGGTGAGGGTACGGCTGTGCGAGCACTGCCCTTGCCGGCCTCCAAGCCCACGAGATGATCTTTCCCCTCCACAGAGGCCACGGGATTTAACCGAGTTGGCCAGTCCCTCCAAAAAAAACCCAGCACAAAGCCACCAAGAGAAACATTTTCATTTGGAGCAACGTGAGGGCGGGCGGGCAGCCGGGCCGAGAGAAAACAGTGGGTTCGCTACAAATCAGTTTTCAGGGTTGCAGAAGTGGGCAGGGGGGCTGGTTTTATTGGGGTCAAACCCCGCTGGGTGCTGCACGAGGTGCAACAAACACATAGTGCAGGCGCACGGCTGCGTTCAGTTTGACTGCTGCACAAATTCGGATTTGTTGCTCTATCCCTACGCCTGGCTTTCGTTTTGGGGTAAAAGCCGCCACTTTCTTGCGGCATTAGCGTTACCCGCGATGGCCTCCGCCCCAGCACCCAGTTTTGGGGTGCTGTGGACATCCCACCCGGCTCCCGGCGAGGCTGGCTGCACAGGCTCGGAGCGTGTGTTGCTCAGACACATTTGGGGAGAAATCAGCGTGGGGTGGAATAAAACTGGGCTGAAAACACAAGAAAAGATCAGCAGTGGGGTGCGGTGGGGGGGGGTGGGGTGGCTGCCAGGGAGCACCCCAACTCTACCAGGGCTGGGTGCACCCGTGCATTTCCTTCCCGGCGCAGCTCAAGTGGCACCGAGTAAAAGCTTCAGTGGCTGCAGGAAAGAATTGGGGTGACGTGGGAGAAAAAAGCCAAAAAAAAAAAAAAAAAAAGCCAAAAAAAAAAAAAAGCCAAAAAAAAAAGGAAAAAAAAAAAACAAAGAAGCCAAAAAAAAAAAGTCATTGCACCAGTCAGAGGAAGGAGAGATTTTTGGGGTGCGCTGTCAGGGGAGGGGGGCACAGAGCTGGGTTCTCACAGTGCATGGGGGTAGAAAGGAAAAGGGGGTCCATGGGGTGGGGGGGCGTGGGGGGGGGGGTGCACGGGGGTGCAGAAAGGCGAATAAACGCGGGGGGACACAGACACGGTGTGCAGTACAGGGGTGCAGGGAGAGGGGGTGCACGGGGGGGGGGTCGTGGCTGCGCAGACGGGGAGGGAGGCTGTACAGAGGAGGCACGGGTGGGGGGGGGGGGAGCTGCAAAGAGGGGGGTGCTCGGATAAGGGGTTCATGGGGGGGGGCGGCTGAGGGTGGGTGCCCCCCTCACCCCACCCGCGGCGGCGCGCGCGCTCCCGCCGGCGGCGCCGGGCGCGGGAAGGTGGGGGGGGGGGGGGGGGGTGGGAAGGAGAAGGCGAGGGGGGGGGGTGTGGGGGGGGGGTGCGTGGGCGCGCTCACGCTGGCAACGCCGGGTGCGCGGGAGGGAGGAGGAGGAGGAGGAGGAGGAGGAGGAGGAGGAGGAGAAGGGGGAGGGGGGCGCGGGGCCGGGCGCTGCCGCCGTCTCCTGCCGCTGCCGTAACGTCCTGACGCTCCGCAGGGACCCGCCGGCCGGACGGCGCGTGCGGAGGCCCCCGTGACGCCGGGCCCGGCGCTTACCTCAGGCCGGGGTCCCGCTGCCCCGCTCCCGGCTCCGGTGGCGGCCGCTCCGGCTGGGCTGGGCGGTGGGTGCGGGGAGGGAAGGGAGGCAGGGTGGGGGGGGGGGGGTGGGAGAGGGGGGGGGGAAGAGGTAAAGGGGGGGTGGGGGGGGAAGGTTGGGGAAAGGGAAGGGGGGGGGGGGGGTAGCGGGGCTCCGCGGCGCGCGGCTCTCGGGCCCCCCCCGCGCAGGCGCAAGGGCCGGGCCCGGCTCCCAGGGACTTATTTCGCGGGGGCGCCCGCGGCCCGAGCCGCCTGTGAAATAGGTGCCGGGCCGGTGCAGCGCGCCTGCGCGCGGGCATGGGCGGGCGGGGGGCACGGGCGCGCGCCGCCCGGGGTTAGCCCGCGCGTGGGCCTGGTCGCTGAGGCGGCGGCGTCCGTGGCGGGGATCCCCCGGGTCTTGGGTGTTCCCCCATGTCTCTGCATGTCCCCCCCCCAACCCCCCTTGGTCTTGCATATCCCCCGTGTCTCTGCGTGCCCCCCGGGCCCTGCACGAGCCCCCCCATATCTCTGTGTGCCCCCCGTGTCTCTGCGTTCCCCCCGCCCCCCCCCCCTCCCCGGACTCTGCATGATCACCCCTCTGTATCTCTGCGTGTCCCCCGTGTTTCTGGGTGCCCCCCGTGACGCTGCGTGTCCCTCACCCCCCCCCCCCCCTTAGTCCTGCATGCCCCCCCGTGTTTCAGTGTGCCCCCTGCCCCCCGTGTCTCTGCGTGTCCCCCGTGGTTTTGCGTGCCCCCCCCCCCCGCTCTCCCGGGCCCTGCATACTCGTCCCCCCCGTGTCTCTGCGTGTTCCCGGCCCCTCGTGCCCCCCGTGTTTCTGCGTGTCCCCCCATGTCTCTGTGTGTATGTATGTGTCCCCCTGGGCCCTGCATGATGCCCCGCCATGTTTCTGCATGTCCCGTCCCCCCCCACCAGGGCTCTGCCTGCCCCCCTTGGATCCCCCCCCTGCATTCTGGGGTTCATGCGTGACCCCCCCTCCCACTCCATACACCCACTGCCTGGGGTGCTCCCTGGGCCCCCAAACATGCCTGGGTCCCCTGCGTGTCCCCCAGCCTGGGCATGGCTGCACTAGGCACACGTATGTCCCTTGGGTGCGTGACCCCTGCACCCCCCCCCCCCCAGAGCTGTGGGTGCACCTGAGCCCGAGTGCAGTGGGGGTGCTGGGTGTTTTATTTCTTCCCTCCCTCCCCGTGGGAGGTGTGTGCTGGGTTTCGGGGTGCAGAGCCGCCCTTGTGCACCTCTTGGCTGGGGACCTGGGGAACTTCGGGTGCCTTGGGGGGCACGGCGCCTACCCCTCCCCATGGCATTTTGGGGGGTCCCGCACGCAGCCCCAGGGGTCTGTGCTCCTTTTCACCCAAACTCCGCTCGGGGCCGTGCTGCGCTGGGGGCTCTGGGGGTTCAGAGAAGGCGTCGAGGTGGCATCAGGGTGGCACCAGTGACCTCCCAGCGCCCAGACTGGCCCCAAGGGAGAGCTGCTTTCTGATTCCCCGCATGCCTCTGACTCCCTGCAAGAGCTCCACAGCCATTCAAAAGGCCCAATAAAAAATAAACAGATAAGTTCTCCGAGGCCTCTTTTTATCATCCTTATCAGCAATTAATTATAACAGAGGAGATAGAAATGTGTGTTTTGCACCTGGAAGAGAAAGTAGCCGTGTGTGTGTGTGTGCAGGCGTTGAGATCCAGCGACGGTTTTTCACACCCGCTCAGGAGCGCTCTGCGGCTTCGCTCCGTCAACGGTGGACGCCTCCCTCCTCCCCACGACACCTGCGAGCCCCCCACCCCGAGCTTTGCAAAGCCCCCGTGCAGCAACTGGCAAGCGCTGCCGTCCCTGGAAAGTGGGGGGGCTGTGGGGGGTGCGCCGTGCTCGGGCAGCGTGCCGACGCCGCAGCGCTGCTGTTGGAGCGGGGCTGCGGGATTTCCCGCCCGTTGCAGGAGCCGTCCCCGAGCTGCTGCGTTTCGGCCCGGAATATCGCGCTGCGACTGGTTTCCCCCCAGCCAACTCGAGCTCTCGGGTTTTGGTGTAATTTCTGCCGTTTCCGGGTTTACCCTGCAAGCTGTGCCCGGGGGGGGGGCGGGGGGGGGGCTGGGGTTCGAAAGGCGTGCGGTGATTTCTCGGGCAGGACTTTTCACACAATCTTACCACATCGTGCTTTTTCTGCAAGTGGGTGGTTTAACGTGATCTCAAAAAGGAAGAGCCGGACCAGAGGCCTGAAAAGTCGTGCGTCTCTTTTTTTGAAACGCTCTGGATGTGTTTTAGTTCTGTCGGCTTTTCGCACCTACTTGGCGAGTGGCTTTTTCTGCCTTGCATGAAGCGGTGTGGCTGGCCCGCCAGTGCCACATGCGTGTTTGGTCTGCTTAGCCGTATTTTACACACGTATTTCTGCTGAACCTGTCTGATAGATTGGTAGTGACTTATTTAATGCCTGTTTTTCCCAAGGCTCTTCTTTTTCCATCCTCCCCATCCAAACCAACCCTGCCCGATTACCAGCTGCCAGCTCCGTTTCCCTCATGTTCGCTTTACCTGAGCTAACGCTCATTAAAGCGGTATTTCACAAGGAATTCTATTTCTTTTCCTTCACCCAGATAACCAACGGTAACCGGCAACGTTCACCCGCTAGAAATGGTGACACCCTTCTCCATGGAAGCCTGTTTATATTTCTGCCAACGTCGCTGTCAGCAGCTCCCCGGGGGACCAGCCCCAGCTGTGTCCTTGGGACCTGAGTGGGGCTGGACGGGGCAGATAAAAGGTCCCTTTGCCACCATAACCAGCTCCCTGCGGCACCCAGTGGCATAAAGATGGGAAGAAGGTTTCAAACCCACAGCCCTGCTGCCCTGCTCCAGTTTTCCCAGCAGCCTGTAGCCTCTTGGAAAGCGAACCCTTGGTTTTTGCTCAGACTCCAGGTGCTGGGAAACCCCCCCAGGGCTCCTCCCCAGCACCCCAACACGGGGCAATTCGCCTTCTGGGACTTTATCTGCTCCCTGCCATGCGGGCTCCTCTCAGCCTTAGTGCCAGCGGGGTTGCTGAGAGGGGGACAGCCTGTTTTCTTTCGAACCTGTAGCAAATTACTCTGCAAAATTTTTTTTTTTTTTTTTTGCCTGCCCCAATGTGTTTTTACATTTACCTTGCCCGAGTCACTCGCCCCTTCTTGCTCAGACACAGCTCGAGCACTTTGTAGGGATCCTTCCAAGAGATACTTAGATATTTTGCTTTCTTGGCCTGTTTTTGATCTTTGAAGAAGCAGTTTGGTGGGTGCTACAATCCGGTCCAAGACTTCAGTATCGTGTCCGTAAACCCTCTCGGTGCTGCCTGCAAGTGCTCAGCCCCGCGGGCTGACATCTGCTGCTCCTCCCGTCCCCCCTCTCCCCAATCCATCCCATTCCTCTGCACTTTTCCCTTTCAGATCACAAGAGGATGAAGGATTTGACTTGAATTCACTAGTTAGAGGGTGATCACGCTTGGTCTCTTATTTATCTTGAATTTTGTGGCACCGAGGCACCGCGACTTTTTTCTGAAGACAAACGCAGAGGCTTACTTTACTACATCCACTTTTTTTTAAGAGCCTGGGTTCGTGGTCTATAGCAAACCTCGGAAGAAAAGCGAGCAGTGCTGCATTTGCCATTAGGTCGTTATCTCTAAAATCAGGAAGGTCACGCTGCAAAAATAGAGTTCCTGTTTGTGCGGGCGGCAGCGTCCTGCGCACACAATGAGACCAGCATCGGGCACAGGCTGCTCGGCCGCCGGTGAGGCGACGGCCCCAGCACTGTCCTCCCCGCTCTTGGGAATTATAATTTATCACCTCCTGCCATCCCCCGGGTTTAGCTTTTGGGACACCAAGGTGGGGGATCCTTCCCACCGCAGCTGGGGAAGCAGCCAGGCACCTTCCCCTCGCCTGTGCCCACGCAGTACAAACCTCCCTCTTTTCAGTTGCAGCTTTTGGGGCATTTTTGTGTGTCTGGCCCCAGGGATGTGATCTGGAGTGTTGGCCGTGCAGGGTCTCCCAGGTTTGGGTCCGCTCGCCTTGGGAACCGTGGCCCCGCTCCCCGCCCCCATGTCCAGCCCGGGCTGGATCGTTTCTCAGGAAAAGCTCATTAAGCAAGCACTGGATTTCTTTTAAAAAAGAAACTCACTTGTTTTCCAGAACTGAGTTTATTGTATTCATAATTGTCCTGTATCTTTTTCAATCTTCCTCCATAAAGCTTTGCATACCCTCACCCTTCCAGCCACAAAGGATGTCAGCAATACCCTCATTCAAACGTTTTATTATTTTTTTCCTCTGAGAATGGCAATAAACTGAGGGTCTCTGCTCCTTTTATGTTGGGTGCAAAGTACTCTCCTTTAGCATACAAATGCTTAAAGTCTATTTTGTTAAATCTTTAGGTTAATTTTCCATTTAACGCATTTTATTAGCATTCTCACAATACAAAAAGAAGCCTCAGAACTAAACCAATCCATTTATGGAGAGAGACGGACACGTATGGTTTCATACCAAGTTTATTTATTTTTTTTATTTTTTTATTTTTTTTCATAATCACTTCTTTTGCACAACAACAACCTCAAGTTGACAATGAAATGCACGCGGTAGACCGAAGGGAACCGGGCAAGGCTCTGTTAGTGATGGAAAGTCCTTCCATGACACCGCGCCAGCTCCTCACCCGGTTGCCCAGCCGGCACGAGCAAAGGTGGCCCAGGCTGCGGCAGGAGGAGCGAATCCTGCCCGGGAAGGCAGCCGGGGTGCTGAGCCCTGGGGTTACGGCCCAGCCCCGCGGCCACGCAGTCATCTTCCAAACCTCTGCCTGCAGCCCTGGGCCAGTTTATTCCCCCCGGGGTGGACAGTTGCGTACCGCGACTCGGTACTTTGGTACTTGCCATTTTCAGAGCACTTGCGAGACGCGGATGCGTTGGCTCTCCGGCGGCCCCTTGTCACGGAGAGGGAGGGAAACTGAGGCACAGGGGATGCTGAGGCTGGGATGCCCGGCTGCCCCCCGTGCTCAGGTCCCACCGTCCCCGCGCCCCGGGGACCACGGAGCACCCCAACGTGGGCGTTGGCCAGTGCCCCTCTTCTGCTTTACTTAAAGACAACTGACTACAAAGGTGGAGTTTATTGGTCTTACTATGTCATCTCATCCCTAGCATGGAGAGTAAGAAATCTCTAGCACCGTAAACAGCCATTCCCTGACTCATTTCAAGTGGCGTAAGAGTGTATGTGCATATATTGTTTCCACGTATGCGTTTCTGTGCGTGTGTGCACAGCCAAGTGCACAGCCACTGCGAGGGAGGAAAGTAATGCAGCGGGAGGGAATTAAACGAACCCCAGGAGACGGGCTTTGCAGAGCCAGGGCCAGAGAGTCACACCGGGCTAAGCAAAAGCAAGCAAGCTGAAGTTTACAGTTTAAAAGGAGCAGCAATACCGACCTACCCCTGAGGTAGGATGCATGCAATCGTGAACTGTCACCATCCTGGAAGGTCAACTCAAAGGTAACCCCACGTCTGGGTTAGAGCAAGATTTTTGAATGACTCAGAAATAATAAGACAAGGAATAGGCTCAGTCTAGAAGCAGTCTGAGGGGCCAGCATCCTTGAAAGCACCCATTTACGGACAGAGCTGAGCTCTTTGCTGTAAGGGATAAGGTGAGTGCAGAGCTTTAATTTGGGATACGAGACCAGTTGTCCCGGCTCTGGTGCCGCTTCACTCATCGCCCGGCTGTCGGTGCCAGCTGGGAACTCATTTAAGCCTCGGCTTCTCTGTCTTGCTCGAATCAGAGGCCCTTCTCCAGGAGAGCTCTTTCGAAGGTGCATGCATGCACACCATAAATTGTCACCACCTAGTCTTTCCTCCCTCACACAACTGCAAACGGTCGTGGTGCGGGCAGGGATGCTGCCAGCCGCCTCGAGGATGCTCTCCCTCCCAGGCACAAAGTCTCGTGTTTCGTTTGGTGCTGCAAAAATGGGGCTGCTAGCTGTGGTTACAAAGCTCGAGTCATAAACATCTAGGGGAATCAGTGAAGAACCTCAAGCCCCACCACAAAGAAGGTGGTCCCGGGAATTGGGGGGGTTGCATGCCGTGTCCGCAACCGCGGTACGTGGGAACGGTCCGGGAATGAGGGAGGCTGGGATGGTAAGGATGTTAATGAGGATACTTAATTAGTCTCAATTGAGGCATGAAGTATGCTGCTGCACACCACCATTAGCAACCCTGGGAGATGGAAAGGCATGAAACAACCGCGATCCCGGACCGGGCCGGCGCGGTGGGTGGGTGGGTGGGTGGGTGGACACCCCTCATCCAGCCGAAACCGCGGGAGCTGGTGCACGCAGCCAAAGCAATCACACATTTCCCTGATAGCGTCCAGTGGCACTGGACAAATGTCAAGCTCCCGAACATCCCTGTTACATTCATCCGCGCCGGGCAACCATCGCTCCGCTGCACCTAAAGCATCTGGCCCCACGGACGAGGCCGTTCCCTCGGCACAACGCGTCTCGGCAGCCGTTACCTGATGCTACCGATGCAAAAAACTCTCCCTGCACATCCCTGCTCCTCTGGCGCAGGAGCTTACCCTGCAGTAACACCTTTTCCAGCCACGACCACTGTCCCTCACAGCGCCGACCCGACCGAGGTGAGAAAAATGAGTTTCCCAGCGCTCACACCTGCATGAGCACTGGTGCCAGGCCACTCTCCTGCGCGTTTCCCGTGGGATTTTTTTTGCCAGGCAAAGCTATTGCGGGAATAAGTCCCCACCTGAGATCCAGGCTGGCCTCCAAGGAGTTGGAGGAGAGCAAGCACGGGCCCTAAGCTGGCAGCACAAAGGCGGATCCAGGCAGGAACCGAGTCCAGGGACTCGGTAGCTGTTTGGGGAGGACAGTTCTACCCAGCACAACCTGCCACCAACCGCTCCTCCTCCGGCACATGCCAAACCTCGCGGCTCCTCCGGCTTCCCCCGGGGCTGCGGGGAACAGCCTGGACCCCCCTCACACGAGGAGGTTTGGATTAACACTAAATTATAGGTGCCAGAATTGAAGCATCACCTCTAGTAGAGCTCTCGGCCCTTCCTTGCCCTCCCCAGCACGAGGAGCAGCCCGTCCCCGCTCTCACCGCCCTGCCCGCAGGACTCAGCTGCCTCCAGCTCCCGACTTTGTGATTTTCCAGCTGCTCTCTGGGCTGGCATCCCGCCCTGCCATCCCCCCCTGCCTTCACCCGGCCTGCCTCCGACTCCTTCTGAGCCCCAAGGAGGGAGCGAAAATGGTCGTTTCTCTTGTTTTAAACTCCTGCTCATGAGTACGACATTTCTGATAATAATAATCATAATAATCATAGTACTAAAAACAGTATTTACAACAAGCTCCAGGTCAGAATTACACACCAAGCAAACACTCAGCACCACAGAGAGTAGGACAGGGTTAATATCTCGCAGATACCTTCTCAGATCCCACCAACGTGGGACACAGACATTTGACAGTTTCAACCATTTCTTACACACAAACATTTCGTTTAAATTACTTTTAAATTTTTTTTTTTTTTAAACTTTTTAAAATTTCTCGTCACTATATGAATGAGGTGATGCTGGCGGTGATGCCGCGCTCTACACAGATGCTTATCTAAGACAGCTGCTACTATAAACTGATCATTAGCTACTGTTAAGAAATTCAACCCTCAGTTTCCTTCCCTTTTTCCTCTTTGCCCTAAATCTTATTTTTTTTATGTCACTGACAGCGCTGGGGCTTTCTAACAGTCCTGCCCTCCCCCCCCGGCCCAGGCGGAGGGGTCTGGGAGTAAAGTAGCCCTTCCTTTTAGGAGCAGAGTCCCCTGACATCAAACTGTGGCCATGGAGGGATCCCTCCCGAATCCAGCTGGGGCTTTTGGGGGGATTAGCAAAGAGCCCTAGGATTTGATCGCCAGCAGCTGCTGCTCTTTGGCTTTCTGGGGGGTTTCTGTGACTGCCTGATGCTCACCCCAGGCCGTAATCAATTCTGTACCTAATTAAAGTACAGGGCAGACAGAAAACTTCAGCTTCTGACAAGACTCGGTGATGATATCATTTTCAGAGGGGAGGAGAGGCAAGGGTTATCGCCTCTCGTTGTTCCCCTGCAAACTCCTCATCCTCCCTAGCTCCTGGTCGCTGCCTGCCATCGCCGTGCAGAGCGGGGTCCCCGGGGAGCCCCGGCCTGGGCTGTGCCTCTGCCTACATCCACACCCCTTGGGTCCTTAAATTATTCCCCAAAGATCCTGCAAATCCCAGCTCAGGAGCCCCTCATCCCACCCCCGGAATGGCTCTTCGGGAGGCACAGCGTGCGGAGGACACCAGTTAGGAATAATGAGATGGTTCGGTGCCTTGGATGCCCCTTTGGTTTATTCTGGGGTCTGAGAGGGCAGCCAGGACGGAGGGGCCATTGCGAGGAGGAGGAGAGCGGTGCCCTGGTGTAAATACCCCCCCCCCCAGGCACCCTGCGCCTGACACACCGCACCGGTCTGTTAGAAAAATAACAACCCAGTAATCTCTAAGCACTGGACAGAGAGGAATTCTCGTTACCTTCTGCCTCAAATGAGAGCAGCTCCCGCCGTCTCCTCTGCAAACCCTTGCTCCTGCGGGGCCGAGATCCCAGCACCGCGTCCTGCGAGGCCGCGCTTGCCGGGAGGTGGCCGGTCCCTGCTCTTCGGGCGCAACATCTCCACTCAGGGTTTCAAGGCAGAAGCAGAGCTGGGGCGAGGGGAGCAGGTCTGCGGGTCTCAGCGGGAGGGTGGCAGCCCCGACCTCGGCCACCTCCATAAGCCGTGACACTAGAAGACGAGGAAGACCATGGGCTTTGACAGTCACCCATTTAGATCAGACGTTACTGCCACGCTTGCACGTTCTCTGCTCACCCCTCCCTCCACCAAGAGGCAAATTTTTCTTAAAAATAGGCCTTGAAAAGCTAAAGTTAGACAAGGAATGAGCATGGGGACATCTCTTCACTCTTACCCCCCGCTTAGCTCCATCCATCCAAAGCCCCGGGTCTGGAGGTTCCCTCCCTGCCTCCCGGGGCGCTGCCTACGAGCCAGAGCTCCGGGGCTCACCCGGCCACCTCTGGTCTCGGTATCTGCCCTGTGATGGCACCCAAGAGTCACATCCATCTTTGGAAAGAGGGAAGGATGATTACTCTGTTCACTAAAAGGCTATTTCGGAACCGCGCCCTGTCTCTATTGGATTTGCTTTCTCACTGGAGTGACATCTCGTGCTGTGGCGAGGCTGGAGAGGCCGCAGACCGGGCGCCCTCTCCCCGGGCTCCCGTGGAGCCGGGGATGCCGTTGCCATCCGCAGTTCTCCCGGGCTGCTCGGCCAAGACCTCTCGGTCCCCAACTCCTCCGGGGAGAGGGTGGCTCAGTCTATGGGCTCCCCCAGCCCGCGGCCAACCAGGGCGTCAGGCGGTGCCTGTCGCGACGGGGACTTGCCGCGACACGGCACCCGGCGCTGAGCTCTGGGTGGAGACCCTCACCTCCTGCCCCACCGGCTGCCAAAAAATCATCCAAAACTGAGGACTCTGGGTCACTGCCTGCCTGGGCTGGCTCCCAATGCAGCCACGAGACCGGGGGTTCTGCACGCCGCGACTCCTGAGCCATCCCATCCCTCTCTCGTTCCTCTCTCCTACCACTGGCAAACGTGGGGCTGTTCCCTATTCCACTTCACACACAGAAATTATCACTTACTTCCCGTTATTCTGAAACTGATATTTGGCTCAGAGCAAATACCAAGAGGAGTAAAAGCCCTGGATAAGAAATCTGTATCTCCGTGACACTGCTGGTTGAATTTATTAATATCTTAATTATTTTTTTTACATCAGTTTAAGAAATATTTTTTTTTAAAAAAAGGACAAAACCCTCCAAAGAAGCTGTTTGATTGACTCATTGATCGATTGATTCTCTATTTCATGTGAACTAGTTGCTATTCTGCTTAGAGGTCCCTATGATCTGTGAATCTCCATGAGTACTGACGATTAAGGATGCAGAGATAGAGAAGCGTGTAGCTGGGGGACAAACACCAGGGGAGGGGGGGATGGAGAACCGAATGTCGCATCTAGACAAACAAAATAAAACGTGTTGGTTGGTCGATTGGTTGGTTTGTTAACAGGAATCAGGTGCTAGATGTGTAGAAAAGCCCTTTATCCAGAGATCTCCTCCCGCTGTTCCTTGTTCCTGCGAACTTCAGCTGCGTGCAGTTCCTGCAAAGATGGGAGAGATGACACCAGGGTAACACTTTCTGCTCTCCCGCACACAGGATTTGTACAAGACCAAAAAAAAAAAAAAAAAAAAAAAAATGCAAATGGGACCAGGTTCCCATCGGACACACCCCGAGGACAGCGGGTTACACCTGCAAGGAGCGAAGCGTCTCATCTGCGGGAGCCCGGAGGAGACGCAAACCTACAGCGACCGCATTCACAGCTCCCTCTTCTTCCCTCTCCCCTTCGGCCCCGCAGCCCCTGGACGTGGGCCGGGCCCGCTCCCGGCCCTCCAAGCTTGCACTTATCAAGACCAGCCAGATGATGTTTTCTCTACTGACCTTGAAGGACGCATCCCCCCGCTCCTGGTGCCGCTCGCGGGGCTGCTCCACGGCCCGCTTCCCACCGGCAACGCAAACACCCGCTCCCCTGCACCCGTCGCTCTGGGATGACCCCGCAGGGACCAAGACCCCGAACCCCGCCACGGGGACCAGCACCCAGCCCTCTCCCGGGGCATCGCACTCGCCTTCTCGCGGAGCCGCTCCCTCAAAGCGGCGAGATGTGCTTCGCGGATCTCCCTGCTCAGCTCCATCTTGTAGTTGAGCTTCTCCTCGGCCAGGCGGCTGAAGTTGTTGTTCTCCTCCAGCGCCTTGTGCAGCACCTCCCGCTCGTGTTCCCGCTTCTCCGCCAGCTGCTTCAGCACCTGAGCCTCCTGGGTCTGCCGGGGCAAGGCGTCGGGAGAGGTGTGAGCCCACCGAGGAGGCTTTCCGATCGTCCCCTCTGCTCCAAACCACTCCGCCACCCCTCTCCATCCCGTAACGCTCTTGCTTGGAAGGCGCTTTGCCACTTTTTTCCTGCTAAGGGGCAATGTCTGCTGGGTCCGGTGCTCCGGGCAGGCGGTGCAACGCTGCACCCACCAGCTCAGCAAAACCGAGGTGACATTTGTGGGTGCAGAGCCCCCTCTCCGAGTGTCACCTCATTCTCTGAATTATTCCAGCTTGCTCCCCTCATACCCACCAACATTTATACTTTGCTTTACTCTGCTGGTTTTCCCCATTTCAGGAAGTTTTCCCCAGAAGGCATTTTATATAGCTCTTACAATAAAACGTGGCGCAGCCTGCTGTTGGAAACACAAGGCTGTGTTTAGGTTTGGATTTTAAGTTTGGGGCGTGACCAACTGCTACATCTCCGGCAGCATTAGCTGGCGAGAACTGCCCCCACAGCCAGGTCACACGTGGAGGACTGAGAGGAGCCCACACTGTGTGGTTTTAAGAACAGGAGGATGAAGATGATGACGGAGTCCAATTACCTGCCTAAACCAGGCTGCAGAACCTCCCTCCATGACTCCCATGTCTCACCTGACAATTTGTAGTGGAATATAATAATAAGTGTAAAACCACTATTTCCAGCCATTTTAGATTGCTCCTGCTAAGCCAATTGTAGGGTTTGGTGCAATTAGTACCTGTCACAGAAAAGTCACGGTCTCTACAGGACATCTTGTTACCTTCCTCCTCTCTTCTGCAGCCTCCAGCCTCCTCTGCAGCTCCTCCAGGGACAGGTCCTTCTTCTTGGGGGGGGAGGAAAGGATTGGGCTCTCGGGAGATAAATCTGAAGGGGACTTCAGGATCACTTCGAAGCTCTGGCCCGATGCCCTCTTATCCAGCTGCTTCACCTCCATATCTTTGGGGGGGAAAAAAAACCCAGAGGCTCTGTGGACCTGTGACACTCAGGAGAGCGTTCACCTGAGGGCACCGAGGTCTTCCCGTAGGAGTTACGGTGTTCCTGTGTCCTGACCTGGGTGATTTTGTTCTATCTCCCAAAATTTCCTGATTAGTGATCAGCTTCATCTCCCCCCCCTCCCCCCCAAGTCAATGCAATTAATTTAAATTTGCAGCATAATTACAGAAAGGCCGCACTGCTGTTAACACCTTGTATGAAGCAGCCAGCCAGTGCAAGCAGTTGTTTTTTTTTTCTGGGGAAATGTAGGCTTACATTAATAAAATAAACTGTGAAAGGAGACTAAACAGATAGACCCCGGGCTGAGATGGATTGCTGCTCCAGGATGGGACATCCCAGCATGCTGATGAGCTCCCGCGGGAGCGTCAGGCAAATGATGCTGTAGCTCTGTGGGAGCAGGGCACGTACCTCCGTACTGGTAGATGGTATTAGGATGGGGCTGGGTGTGGAAACAGGAGCAGATGAGGGAGAGCAGAGACAGCTCCTTCATTTTCTCCTTGTAGGCTGAAAAATACAAAATAGCGATGAGAAGAGAGTCTGGTGGCAACGGCAGCTGGTTTTCATGGAGAAATGAAGCCAGTAGACACAAGGAAACCCATTTGCAGCTACCAGACTCTACAGAAGCTCTTCCAGTTCACCATACCTTGCCAAAAGGTCCCCAGGGGGTGTCTGCTCTAGAGCAGACTAAATTAGCTGCCAGAGTGGCAAATGTCCTGGGAAAATACACAGTAGGAATTTACCACAACTAGAGGCCTATGTTTCTGTGCAGGATTTTCCCTCCAAAGGAGCCTAAGCGCTGCAGCCTGTGTAGTTAACCACGTTGGGACAGCTGCCCAGACCTTTTCTCCACTCCACTTCCAGACTCTGAAGTAAAATGACACCAATCAACACCTGGGAACGCTCCTCAACCTCTGGCAAATTAGGAATATTTCACAATTCAGCATTTCTGACATGAGGGTGAAGAGGCAAGATGTGGAGAACAAATGGACATTGGAGTGAAGAAACAGTTCAGGGGTGCTGCTGTTGGGGGGAAGTGCTGCAACCCGACTTCCCGAGGTACCTCCTTCCTGGCAGAAGCAGACAAGGGAGGATGTAAGTGGATTTTGCCACCACCTTGGCCCACGCAGGCAGAGGCTGAAACTGCTCTGCAATCACAGTAAACCATAGAATCATCAGAGAATGGTTCGGGGTGGAAAGGACCTTAAAGACCATCTAGTTCCAACCCCTTACCATGGGCAGGGACTCCTTCCACTACACCAGGTTGCTCAAATCCCCGTCCAACCTGGCCGCCAAGCTTTTGTCCCCCCAAACCTTCTGCTGCCTCCACAATCTTCTGCAAAGGACAGGGAAATCCATAATCCCTGCAAGCCCTCCGGTTTGCTTATCATCCCTGCGACCGGAGGAGGCACGGCGGCATCCTCAGTGATCACAAGCGCACCAGGTGCTGCCCTAATGACAGCAGCACCCACAGCTTGCAGTGCGTCCGTTTCTGGGGCAATCTACACTCGTGTTTTTGGAGTTTAGCACATTTAAGACAGCAAACCGTTAGCACACGCTTGACAAAGAACCTCAGAATAGAAGGATGACTTGAAAACAGAGAGGCGGTCCGTCAGGGTGTCAAGTTCTTTATCACAGCGGCGTAACCCTCCCCACATCGCTGCTGCGCCGCCGGTCAGCTGCCGACGGCTCGGCGGTGGGTGCTGCTGTCTCACGGACACTGTGAGACTCCATCCTGGACTGGCTGCTCAAAGGACACCCGGGCACATGGGGACAGAGTCTCCGTGGCTGCGTGTCCTGTCAAACCTGCCCTGAGCCTCCTCGTGCTGCCTTTCCTCCTGCCCCCACCACAGGCACAGGCATTCTGGTGTCCAGCCTCGGCTCTCCCACACGTCCTTGTGCTTCTGGCCTTGGTTTGTCCCTTCCTCACTGAGCTCCCGTTCTGACCTTCGGTCAGAGGCGAGTCTGCAGCCTGGCTGCCAATGCCACCTTCATAGCAAGACTCTCCACCGGGTCAGGAAAGGGAAATCCCCAGAACTTCGTGATACGGAGAGGCATTAGATGCAGAACGATTTTGAACAAAAAAAAGAATAAAAATCATCCTGTGCACCATATGCCACCAGAAACACCTTTCAGATCATCTCCTCTGCCTTCCCACAGCTACTTGGGTGGGAAAACAGTGGTTTCATATATCTACTTTATGCTGGCACTTGTTTTTCCTCCTAGGTACAGAACTTTGACCTAATTAACACCCTCCTTTTGCTAACCAACAGTCCCTGAAGCTCAGATCTTTATTGAACATTTTCCAGTTTGCTCCACATTCTGATTTTAATACCCTGCCCAGTCCTGCTGTTAAATGTAAACCAAACAGGAACAGTTTACACCAGCTGTGCCAGCCACAGAGCAGGACATCTCTGATTTTGTTCTTAATGAAAAAAAGTCTTTGGAAAGCCTCTGAGAGTGCTGTATCGTGCTAGAAGTCGTGGCATGCAGCAGTAAACTAATGGATCTCATAATGTGCTGCTGAGAGCCCTGAGGAGGGTCCCCTGGATTAAATGCAAGACATTATCGTTTAATAGAAAGAAACCACACACCAAGGTCATTGCTCCACCATTATGTCTGGTCCTGGGTGAAACCAAGACATGAAGCAGATGTGCCACACCCCTGGCCCACTCGTTTAATTGTCTCCTAGCAGTTGTTACAGAGCACAGTGCTTTGTAGTTCATTATTTGAACTTCAGTGGGTCTGCCCAGTACCGGTTTCACGACTGTGTAGACAAGCGTGTGCTGAAGTCCCCGCCTTTCAGGAGGGCTGTTGTAGTGATTTTACAGCTGCCTCCATTCCACTGGGACCTTCCCTGTCCCGCTGTCCCTTCTGTGGAGCAAACTGATCATGTGTGTCCCCCCCCCCACCTCCGTCAATTAAAATGAAAAGGAGGGAGAGGACAAAAGGCCACCGCTTCACTGAGTGCTTTGATGAGCTATGGAAGCGCAGTGGGTCCTTCTCCCGACGCCGGAGCCTGCAGCTGCACCCCCGACACCGGCCAGGAGCAGCGTGCGGGCACACGGGCCGGGGGGAGCGGGGCCGGGGGATCCCCCCCCCCCCCCCCCCCCGCCGCCTCCCCGCTGCTGGGGGTGTGGAGGGGGGGGGATATTGGGGAAGCGGGAGAGCGGCGGGAGGGGCGGGAGCGGAGCGAGACCCCCGGGCCGGTAGCGGGGAGGGTCCCCGCGGCCGCGGCCCCCCCGGAGCTGTCCGTTCAGCACCACCGGAGCTGTCCCTTCAGCACCACCGGAGCTGTCCCTTCAGCACCACCGGAGCTGTCCCTTCAGCACCACGGCCGGGACACCTCCCCCCCACCACCACCCCAAAACCCCGAGCAGCGCCAAGGCCGAGGGGGGCTCCGGCGTGAAGAGCGGGGGGGAAGGATCGAGCCCTGAAGAAATCACCCTCCTGATCCGCCCCCCCCCCCCCCCGAGGAATTCATCAACCCCTGAAATTCTCCCCTCTGCTGCTCCGGAGCCAGTGGTTACACCCGCGGGGCACAGAAGCATCCCGAAGTGACGCCCTCGTCCTCACGCGTTCAGTGGCAAACAATACATGGTACACGTGTCCAACACACTGTTTATAGGCTAAAATAAGAAGAAGCACCCTGGGAGGAGAGGTAGACCCTCTGATTCTGTAAAGAAAAATAAGATCTAAAACCTCCGGGTCACTATTTTGGAGACCGTGCCGATGAAGATCAAACCCAAGGTCTCCTGAAGTAACACTATGTCTCAACCACCGCTACATCAGAAAGGGCGTGCTTAAAACTCACAAGGGTAAAAGGTCAGCATTGCAAACCTCAGCACTAAAATTTACTTCAGAAGTACCTGCACGCATATTTGCCAATAGATATATACGGTTTTGAGGACACTTTAAAGCCAGTGAACAAAATTCTTGAACCGAGATAAGACAGTTGGCTAGTCAGAATGTGCCGTGGCAAACAAATCCCTTCCAGGAAAGACTGTTTGTCTTCCAGCACACAAACACACATATTTTAAGAACAACTAGACAGGAAATGCTGAACTTTTTATTTAAGCATTTATTTGATTTTTTTACTTCTGCTAACTTAGTAAAAATAAATTCAGTTTACGCTGAGCAAATATTGTATACGTGTATAAATTAGTGAGGCTCAGTTAGTCTCCATTCCTAAGGGACTTTATAGCAAAGCATCGCTTTGGTCCCCGAGCTGCAACAAGAGCTTTGTCTCGCTGACGGGGGGGCGGGGAGGAGGATTAGGACCGGCTGCTCCCTCCAGCACCAAGCACCGAGAGGGGCAGGGTGCTCTCAGCTCGCTTTCCCTCCAGCGACTCATTTCCCGTGCTCCCTCTAGTGCTGCACGGTACATCCTGCATCTCCATGTCCCTGCTGCTTCGCACCAGCACTACAGACGGCATTTATACATGGAAAGTGTTTATCTCCAAGTTAACCCCCCGGAGACACCATCCAGCTGCTCCCCGAGCGGCTGCGGTACAGGAGATGGAGGAACGGCTGGGGACGGGTGCGATGCGCGAGCGATGGAAACCATCGTCCTGCTCACAATGTGCTTGGACAGGGCCCCTCACCCATTTATTTATTAAAAAGTTCTGTTCTCTGCTTCCTAACCAGGTTAAATGAAACTGAAGACTGTTTGAGCAGCCTGACTTTTTGTTCGGTGTTACATGATGTCCAGCAAGAGAGTGAGGCCATTTAGGCACACCACCGATCCAGTCAATCATAATGAACCAGAGGCACAGCAAGACTAATTTATGTGAATTCAACAAATTAAAATGGATGAGACTGGATGTGCTACGGCTGGCAGCAAGGTCAAAGGAAGGTTATCACAAGAAAACAATTTGGTTTGCAAAGATAACTTTGGAGAAGTAAAAAATTGCTTCCATAAAGAATAATATATCATGAAAAAAATGAGAACAGTCCAATTATAGATGTAGCCAAAGCACAAAGAGGAGGCAGAGAAGCTAGAGAGACTGGGAACCGAGTCCTTCAGCAGAAAGACACAACAAAAGCAACCATAGTCCTCAAAAAGCCTTGAGAGTACAACAGACTCTAGATATTCTCACCTGCTGTGAATCCTATCATAAAAATAATGGACAGGCCTTCACTTCAGCCTGACTCCCTTCCACCTTCTTGCTCCCCCAAATTCCAAAAACAAGTCAGCAGGGGAGCTCACACAACCAGAAAACACTAGTGGATTGTTTGTTTTTTTGTTTTCGTTTTTGTTTTTGGTTGTTGTTTTTTTTTTTGTTTGGTTGTTTTTTTTCAGACCAGCAGTTGTAGCCCACACCGATGCCGTACACCATCTCAGCTGCTCACCATGAGTTTTAGGCCCAGAAGTTACTGTGGGCTCATGTGGAATCATCCATGAGAACAGGCAGATGCAAGGGTTGTTCTGCCTTCTGTCGGACATCTGCTAAACCATCACCCAGGAACGGTTTCCCATCACCCGGCTCCTTCCCCCCTAGGTTTCATTTGCAGCTCAGGAACGCCACATCAACCCGTGCTATGCACAGCCAATGGATCACCAAATCACTCAGGCTGGAGCACCGGAACACGTGGGCTGAATTCAGGAAAATAACCAGGGGCATCTCCTCTTCTAGGGGCTCAGCAAGAGAGAAGGGCCCATGCTGTGTAGCAGAAACCCGGCAGCCTGGGCTGGGTGGGTGATTGACTGTCAGGAAGGAGAGAAGCGTGGCCTGGCTTGCTTGATAAAGCAGAGGAAAGTGCCAAATGGAGGCAGCTGTCCTGGAGTTTTTGTGGATTTGGGGCAAACATAGGCTCAGGTGGTCAGGTTTGGATGAGACAAAGAGCTACAGAGGAGCTGGGGATCAGGTAAGGCAGCAGTTCACAAGTCAGCCAGAGACAGGAGTCTAATGCCACAGTGTGTCAGGTACAGACATGCTGTGTGACCACAGACAGTCTTTTGGTCTCTTTGGATCTTGGTTTCCTTTGCATTAACTAAGGATTATTGTACTTGCCCATTATACAGTGGTATTATGTGTAGAAACACATTCAGAGAATATAAGATTCTCTAGTATGGCACTAAACATGTAGAGGCACCTTCAAACAATAAAAGGATTGTCTGGAAATACGCTGAGCAGCTCTTCACCACCTGGGATGTGTCAAAGTGCTACAGCACACACACATGGTCTTTCATTGCTCTTTAGCTCTTTTATTTCTAAATCCCAGGCAAAGATTTGGCCACTGGTTTAACTCCCCTCTGGGTAGGAGACTTTTTTTTTTTAAAATGTAAGTTTACAGCTGGAAGAATAGAGCCCATGTCAGTTGGGAAACTGGGAGGGATTAGCCAGACATGTTGTTTCCAGTTAATTTAGGGGTACAGAAGTTTTAGCGAGCTTCAGGTTCCTCCAAGTATTGTCATCAAGAATCACCAGTCCCGTTCACCCTAAGAAAGCCTGAAGTTGCACTCCAGCCTGCTGCCCACACTGCTGTCACAAAGGTCTTATCTGCAGCTTCCACTTGCCACATCAGACCACAAAATCTCAGCTTTTCCTCTGCAGGAGACTCTGTTCATCTGATACAACAATACATTCGCCAGGTCTGAACCAACATTGATAGGTTCCAAGAAAGGGCTTTTCTGAGATATCCAAGGGATCCTCACAGAGGCTACATGGTGCCATCAAAGAAGATATGATTTATATTTTAGAAAAAAACAAATATTTTCCAAGGATTTATATTCCTTGTTTGGATATAGTGGTATCCAAATACATATAAATTCCTACAATAGATTCTTTTGGCTTGTAAAACAGAAGTCCCAATAAAAGTACCATAAATTTCTAAGGCCATATAGACTCCATCAACACCTGAAGAAAAAGAAAAGAGTGATTTCTTCAGAACACAGAGAGATGGAGAGCTTGATAAAAAGGACTCTGATTCTCCAGCATGGGCAGCAGAAGTGTCGGGACAGGGCAATACCATATGGTGTCCACCAGTACCATCTAGAAAAGGGATAAAGGGGATAACCCAGACCAACACACAGTCGCACAACTCTCACATTTCTGTGTAGGAGGGGAGAACCTCGGAATCTGTCGAGGCACATTTACCATGCCCAGTCGCGAGGCCAGGCCAGGAATGGCAAACCGGCGTCTCCTCTCGGCTCCACCTTCTCAGCCACACTAATGTCGGAGAAAAGCCCAGGAGGCTGTCACTTTACTGCATCATTTCATAATCTCGTGCCTCTTTATTCAACCCAGATGCCTACAAATGGTGGGGAAAGTTACGCAGCCCTGCAGAGCCCAGCCAGACCACCCCCGCCCCCCCCAGCCCCCCCTTCTGCGGTGTGCAAGAGCACAAAGCCTTGTGCAGATGCTGGGGGGAGGAGGTGCGAGGGCTCTGCCCCTGCAAGGTCTGCCCGGCAGCAGGGCCAGCACCGCAGCTGAGCCTGCACTGAGCATGTGCCGCCGATTCCGCTGCTCTAGCACCAAAAACAACCACCAGGGCCAGGAGAAAACGCCCGAGGTGGCAGGGAGAAAAGAGAGAAGACTGCCGGCCTGGGGGAAGCAAGCCCCTTTTCTTTTCATCCCAGGGATTTGTTTGTTTAAACAAACCCAAGAAAATCGTCCCAAGGGGGATAAGCCCCCGGGCATTGGCTGCAGACAATTGCAGCTGCTCTCCCTTCAGCACGGATTTGCTCTTGCTGCTGCGGATAAAGAAGAAAATAATGAAGAAAGCAAACAATACTCTTTCCTTAATTTAAGGATTTGCTTGCCTTTTCCTCCTGCCACTCCAAGGTACTCTCCGTTCCCGCTATAAGCACTATAGGTGATGGGGAGCTGCTCCCTGCACAGGCAGATGGGCGAGGTTCAGCCCCACTCCCTCCCTTGGCAAACACTGCCCTATTCTCTTTCCTCCCGCCACAGCGCTGGTTTCCATGACTTTCTATTCCTTATAATTGTTTCTCTACTTGATCTGAGCCCCAAGGAAGCACGGTTTCCCTGAAGCACATGCTTCTTCATGATCCAAAGCCTCCTTTGACAGTAAAACTGCGTCTTTGGGAAGATTAAATACGCCATAGGCATGGGGTGGGTTGGGAGGGTGAGAATGCACCAAGTGGAAAATGCACGTTATGCCTACGCGTGCTTCACCTGCCACCTCGTCCATCTCAAGTTCGATGCAACCTTGGTTTAGATGGCTGGTAAGTCTGCTCCGTCCCTCCCACCCCCACTCTGCAAACAAGGTCCAATCCTGTTCTGTAGGAGAGGAAGGCAGATGGGTGGGACCTCCCGAGCGTGCACTGCTGCACACATTCATTGAGACAGGGATACTTGCAGAAATATATACAATAGCTGGAGATTTTCTATCAGAGACACACATTTTTTCAATTCTCCTTTACCACCTTGAATTGCATGCAAATCCCACTCGGGATCAGCTGCACCCTTACAGCCCCCACCCTCCCCCCCCATCTCTCTGTCCCTCTCTGCCTTTCCTGGGCTTTCACAATGAGAAAGGAATAGAAAATGCGCAGCAGGAGACATGGGCAAAGGCCAATGAAAGAAGCTAGAAGTGTTGCCTGGTCTCTTTCGGGCTGGTTCCCTGCCTGGGAGGCACAAAGCACTCCCCACTTTTCCTTTTTGTCTGCTGCTCCTGTTCAGCTCTACAGCCCAGCCCTTCAGGATTTAGCTTCCCCCACCCAAGCCCCTCTTCAAGGACTGCAGAATTCAGACCCGTTTCAAGAGAAAACTTGTTTGCTTTTTTTTTTTTTAAAAAAAAAAAGAAAAAGACCCTCCAAACCCACCCACTGTTCATTGTACCATTTCAGGCTTTTCTCCTCCTTCACCCACATTCCCAGTTTCAGCCATTTGAAACCCTCCTTCCCAGTTAAAAGGGGAAAGACGCATCTTTAGGAAAGGGCTGGACCGAAGCAGCATCCGCAGGGCAGCCTGGCATCCCGCAGGCAAAGCCGACCCCGGTGCCAGGCGCCCGGGCAGCCACGCCGTGACTCCCGCTGCTGCTGCAGGAGGGAGGAAGGGCTTCCCTTGCAGCATTCGATTTCACCCAACGCCATCAGAGGACCGCTCCCCTGTAGCATCTTCTAAGGAAGAAATGTGAGCTGCGGAAGAAAACTGGGGATGGGAAGCCCTGAGAATACACAGAAACCCATCCAGGTTATTCTGGTTGGGTTTGAAGGGATTTTCGAGGGCATTACTGTCAGTCTCTTGTCCGTGTCTTTCTTACCCATTTAGGCAATACATGATCTTCACAAAACAAAATGTAGATGCTGATTTCTTTGCATCCAGTTACACAGCATGCAAATTTTTCTTAGGGGGGAACAACAACGACAAAAAAGAAGCTGTATCACGGTACAAAAATGATAATTAATTGGCATGCAGCAGCATCTTCTTGTGGCACAATGTAACAGCAGCAATATTTTAAATTGGCAAAGTTTATCACATGTGTATTCATATTAAAATAAAAAGCCCACCTGCTATCTTGCATCAGAGGGGTGTGTGTGTATGGGGGAGGAAGGGGAACAATGCTGCCATACCAGCTGCCTCCTCACCAGAGAACTCCCCCGAAATGCACGGAAAAAAAAAACCCGAAAACACCCCAAACTCTCAGAATAACGATTAAAAACCCCCAAACCCGATGGTTTTATAAGCAGATTGATGCCAAGCTGACCCCAAACCAACTCCCCCCCCCCCCCTAAGATGTCTGTCCTACCTGAGACGGTGCTGGCCATGCTGCTGCGGTGGGAGCGGAGCGGGTGCTGCAGGAGTGAGCGCAGGGAGCTGCGGAGGTGCTGCAATGCTGCGGGGAGGGAGGACTGACTCAGCTGGAGGGGGCTGCAGCCATCCGCGGCAGGGAGAGGCTGGAGAGCCCGGAGAAAAGGAAGGGGTGGAAAGAAAAAAGAAGGGTCACTAGTTCAGAATATTAATTAGCGTATCAGGCCTCCTTTCCTGGGTGGCTTTGACGGCAGATCCCTCCCAGGCAGGACTGCCTGCCAGCAACACAGACCCACTGCGGGGGGAGCGAGGAGACACACCCAGCCGGGCTCTGGCAAAAGATGGTTTTTCCTCCTCTTCCTCCCTTTCTTGTCTGCTCTAGACAGGCTAAACTGCTTTTTCCCTTGCTGAAAGCAGAAATAATTCATTGACGTTTTTTTGTTGTTGTTTTTTTTAAATCTTCCATTCCAAGGCAGTGCCCACCCGCAGGGCTGGGTCTGGGGTCTGGCTTAGCTAAGGTGAGGTGTAAAACCCAAAGCCCAAACCCCTTGCAGCAGCTTTAGGCAAACAGCGAAGGGAGGAGGGATCCCAGCCAGGTTCGGTGTTTTTAGGCGTGGGGTTTTTTGCACCAGCACTGGGACACAAAAGGGGCAGCAGCTGGGGGGAAAACTGCTGTAAAAGTAGAGGAGGAAGAGCAGAACGGAGCCTTCTGGTTTCAGTGGGACTGCTCTGGGTTTCTCCCCACCACCCCAGGCACCAGGAGCTTTTATTTTCCTCTTCAGTTCTGTTTTCTATCACTTCTATCATTTCCATTTGTGGCTGTCGTTAGGGGCCAACGCATCTGTGCTTTCTGAGAATCAGGCACACATTTGGGACCCAGGAACCCTCCCCAGTCCCATCCGACCGCGGCTGCACAAACCCCACCGCGGGGCCTGCAGTTGCGATCCCCTGGGATCCTCTTGGGCCAGATGTTATCCTCCCAGCTGCATGTCCCCTCCAGCTGAAAACACCCCAAATCTCCCAGCACACTGCAATGCAGACACTCCCAAACAATTCCAGGAGCTGCAGGGAACTACAGGTTGCTCGAGTAGCCGCTGGCACTCTGGCTTGGCCAGGGGCAGAAGCCACAGGCACTGCCTACTAAATCCAGTTAAAAAGACACAGATTTTCCTTTTTTTCCTTAATTTTTCTTCCCCAGTCTCCAAGTGTACCATTCCTTCAACACTGTGGGTACAAATCAAAAAAATAATATAGAAAATAAGTCTAATTCAGAATAATATTAACACTTGCCACAGATTTTCAATGCGTGTTTGGAGCAGGAGCTTTTTTATTACCATTAAGTGCTTCCAGTTCTGTCCGAGGCTTGCTTTGTAGTCGCAAGTCTCTCCACTTTCTCCTTGGGTTGAAACTCTAAGATTTTATAGGTTATCTTGAAGCCAGTGGGCTGAATTGTATGCATTTCAAAAACACGCTCCCCATTAACAGATGAAGGCAGCCATCCCAGGCACCTGAATGCTCAAATCTCTTCCCGCCTCTGCTCAGGATGAGCTCTTGGACTTACCCAGCAGACCTGAGAGGGTCTGTCTATCTCTTGCGATATTCTGGATCTTCTGGGCATAAATCCGGTATGCATTTTACTCCTTTTATTTAGCAAAAGGTACAGAACGTTTTCAAGGTGCCATGGCATGTGTCCCAGTGGAATACACAGTATGAGAAATGGTGAACAAAGGGATTTAAGTGGCTACGCCACACATCATACACTTTAGCTCCAATATTGTTCACATGTTCTAGATAGCCTGTCATATAAATAATGTTAATACAGTTAATTCCGGATGTCTGTAACACTGGGCAATAGATCTTCCTTATTTTAACTGTAACTATCTTTTCAAGTTCTCCCTGATTGTCCTTCAGAAGGCACTGGATATTTTTCTGAAGATGGGCATTTGGGAAAATTGGTGAGTATTTGGCTAATGTGTCCTATGCCTTCATCACACATGACATCTAACCAGGCAGACTACTGGGAAACAGTAGATTTTCATGGAGAACCAGCAAAGAAGTTGGTTTTGCAGCATGCATTTCTTTCACCACTTTATTGCCAATGTTTTCAACATTTTTAACAACTAAATATTCCTAAGCCTCTTTCAACACAGGAAGGGCTTCCTTCAATACTTCATCCTTTCAACAATGCTGAAAACAAAAATTCTCAAACTGCAGAAAAGATTCTCTCTTCAACACATCCCAAGACAGGGACCCATAACAATCCTCGTGTTTCATTACAGGGGACACTCACCGAGGGCTGTTCCCAGAGGAAGATCTCCGTGTTGTGGTGGTTACCAAAAAGGTCACGGGCTCGGCACGCTTTATTTGTGGCTGCAAGCCTGGCAGAAGCATGGCTTACAACAAGAAATATTTGGGGAACAATTTTATCTAGTGACTACTGAAATAACAGTGAAAGAGGAAAATCTCCCTGTCTGAAAGGAGAAGCATGGGCTGCGATCCGGGGGGCTGTAACCAACGGTGCCCAGGCAATAGCATCAGTGTGAGACCTCCCAGTACCATTTGCAGACTCAAGCTGGGAGAAGCTCCCTTAGTTGGCATTGAAATAATAATTAAAAAAATTCCACATAGGGCAGCATCAACCCCCTGACATTGCAAAATAATAGAAGAGAAAGGAGAAAGAGAATTGAAGGAGAGAAACCTGTGACAGCAACATCAGCACTAACCCAGGAAAATGTTTCCCTGAAGGCAAGAGAAACAAGAGGGTTGTTCTGATGTTTCCTCTTTAGTATCTGTCATGTGCACTTGAGAAACGAGGCCAAGTTTTACCAAGGATCTGGATCAGGAAGAAGAGGAAGAGTTGTACTAATTCAGTCACGCAGAGGTGTAAAGGAAGCTGAGAATTCAGGTCACCCCAGGGTCTGCTCAGCTACCACGGGCATTGCACGTACATGAAGTTGGCAGCGCACTGAGCACTACAGATGTAACGAGCTGCAAGTTGAACACGTGAAGCTGTGAACTCTGCTCTGGGGGTTCCCTTCCGGCCTCCACCAAATCACTAATCCCATCTGCCTTGGTTGCCTCCTCTGTAAAACGAGTATTTATTCACCCTCCTAAATAACAGGATGATTGTGATTAAAATGGGAGGGTCAGAGTGGAAAGCTGTTTTGTTATTTCCCAACGGTAAAGAGACAGAAAGATTCTGGATTAGCTGGAATCAAAGGAATCAAGTAATTTTGTGGCCAAACAAAAGTTTTAGACCGTTGCTATGGGAACCATCACATCTCCTCAGAAAGACAGTGAATGGCAACTTAATCCTCTCCTATCTGAAAGGGGAAAAGTAACCTTCATGTGAACTGCAGGAGTTTCTCAGCCTGTCGTTGCTGCTCTTCAAACTCTTTTGTCCCACTCCTCAAGATTCTCGCTTCTCTGGGAAGAGAAATCCTGCCTAGGCAGCCTCTGAACAAAAATGATGATTATTCGCTTTGTATTTCTGTACCACACAAGCTTTCTGCTTGTCGGATTCTCTGCAGCTCGGTTCAGTCACTCACACATCCACTTCTCCACAGAGTTCAAGGATCACCTTTTCCATTTTTTTTTTTTTTTTTCCTTGAAGGCACCGCTTCAAATGAAAAACAGATGATTCAAGACCTTCACCATCCACTAATGAGCGAGCAGTGGAGACGCCCTGGTTCCTGCTGTCTGGGTAGCACGTAGATGCCATTACGGGTATAGGGACTGGTCTTGCATAGAATCCTCTGTGCTGCTCTGACAAATTTTTTAAACCCCTCCTCCTCTCCCTCATCTTCCCTCTCCAAACGCTTGCCTTGTAAGAATCCAGGGTTTATCCTTGGGAGCCAAACACCAGAATGACAATCCATGCCTAAGACCAATACCTGCCTTTATCATGTCTGTATTCCAACATAGATGCTGTAGCTTCAGTAAACCTTCACAATTCTTTTGCAACCTTAATAAGTAATACATTTTTCTCCTTAAGCTTACAAAATTTAGTTTCCTCTGTTCTGTTTTTAGAAGAAACTGGTGTAGCAATGCTGAAGACAGACTCGCCGATGCTGGCACTGCAGCCTTGGTCAAGTGAGGTAAATGGTGCAGAGGAACAACCCTCCAGGAGGATGAAGCGCGCAGCCGGCGCTGACTCATGATTGCCGCTGGCCACCAGCGCATCTGCTGACTCACACTCCTTTTTGGGTTTGGTAACCTTCCAGCTCTTCTCTCTCAGAAGGTAACACTGCTTCAATCAATATCACTTAAAGAAGTTAAAATAATCTGATTTGATCACTGTTGATATTATTCTTCAATGCAGGAAAGATATATTTACAGGAAATAATAGTAATGACACACTCTTCCATATATTTATGATGGGTTTTCAACCTTTATTCTCCATTATAAATACCTTATCCCACACACTCATTTTACAATCTTTACCAAGTCATTTCTTTTGCAGCTTAATTTTCCATAACTGGTATCAAGCTGAAGAGTTCACAGTCGGAACCACGAACAAAATCAGTTGTTCTATGTTGTGTGGAGTACCACGAAGAGCCGAAGGAATAGCTCAGTGCCCTCTAGCCCATTCATTACAATTACAGACAGTTTACAAGTTCAGCCCGAGGAGTTTAAAGGTAACACCTGTAAACTCCCCTAACCAAACACCCGGAAGATGCAGAACGTACCAAAAGTTTGAGAACAGATTATGTAATATACTCAAGTTTAAGGTCTGTTCCTTCTACTAGTTATTTTTCTTTAAATATCAGAACACTTCTACATACAAACAAGCTGCACAGCTTGCTAGGAATAAACGCATTTTTGTTACAATAAAACAAGCCACATCCCATTCTATATCAATGCAGTAACCACCTAACAGCATGAGATGCAGCAATAAAGTACAGACAGATGCATGTAAAATATTTTCTTTCCACCTTCTTCCTCATATAACTGCATAAAATATGGTTTGCAAAATCCGTAAGTAAACCCTGTGTATCCATTTATTAAAACACTTGCATGGTTTGCTAGTCTTACAAACTGAGTAATCCATCAATCCAGAGCAGTTCAGAGTTTGCTACAATCACAGACGTGTGGAACCAACCCTCATCCTCAGAAACCGAAACGCTGACGCAGCCATTGCTGGCCTTGGGCACAGATCCACTGGCAGGGAACTGAAGGCTGAAAGAATCGTGCTGAAGCAAAGCAGGGAACAAAGGAGCGGCACAATTCACCCCTAACAAAAGACACCCGTCAGAATTCATCACTGTTCTTAGTGCAGAAGCTACAAGGCTCAGCACAACACACAAACCCTCGTATCTTGGATGGAGTTTCAACATAGAATTGTGTAGTATTCTGCCATGTACCCCGTGCAGCACCACTGGAGGGTGGCAGACTTGCAGCACAAAAAACACAAGCGCACTGGACACAAATTCTGGTCAAGGGCATCGTGTGGTAACACAGC